TTTCTTGATGAGCTATTTACTGCGCAGCATTATTTAAATATATACAAAACTATTTCGTATATTTTTGTAGCTATTTGAAGGCTTCTCAGCTATTTATTTATTATGATTTTATTTTCTTCTTGAGCTGTTTAATGTCCAGCACTATTTGAAAGTATACAGCAGTTTTTAAAATACTTGCATATAGCTATTTAAATCGCCAGCATTACTTAAACTTGTCTTGCGCTGTTGAAAAAAATATTCGTAGCTATTTAAATCATTGTTGATTGTAAATAAAAATCCAAAATACATATATCTTGCTGATTTAATATAGTATATTACTAATACTTGTCCCAAATGGATCATTCTCAAAACAAATACTTTTTTATATATCATTCTTTTATAAACATCTCATAGCTGGTTAGATATTTTTCATGTATTTATTTACATATAATACATATATATGTATATTTACGAGCAGCTATTTAAAAAAAACTTAGCTATTTATCTAAAGTTACTAATCTTCTTTCGAGCAGAAGATTGCCAAAAAAACTGAAATATTTATTTCATTCGTAACAAAACTTAATTTTTTAATGTATCATTTTATGAGCTGTTCAAAACCAGGGTTATCAAAAAAATATCATAACAATTCAACTTGTTTGATAAATAATCGCCGAAAAAGAAATTTATAGATTTTTGTTAGTCAGCTACATAATAAATAAACAGACCAAAACTTTTATAGAAAAACAGTCAGCTAGTTAAATAATTTAATAATTGTCCACACTTCTTTAAATAGCTATCAATATTTTAAATAGCTATGTTAATGCTTTAATAGTACTAGGTTTTACATAGCTACTTGAATCAATTAGCTATAAAGCTTTAAACAACCATGCGGTTTAGTTAAAAATTATCTCATTTGAGAAGCGACGAAATATTTTTCGATTTCTTTTCTTCCGAGAATTTACCTTTGAGATTTATTTTGTTACTCATGACAAATATCAGACAATGGATTATAAGTATGAATATTAATCTTTCGTCTAAACTTTTAAATATTTAATGCAGAATAAATTCTGAGTAATGTCTTATAACACTCATTTATCTACACAAGTATGCATTTATGGTATTTTATTATATATTCAATCACGTTCTATTCATTGCATTTCATTTTTCATGAGAATTAAACAGTCAAAAGTATACAACTTATGTATATTTGCTTCATGTCATAGAAAAAATACAATATAAGATTGAAGACAGTGTATGTAATGAATATTTTGATATTCGATCAACCAATTGGAAAATCTTGGAGTATCTTACAAAAGATTATGATATTATATAGTCGTATATAATATAAAGCATAACATTTTTCGTATATATCGTGATTCAATAATGTCTACAAATAAACATATATGTTCATATAAATGAGAAGACGACTTTATTCAAATATTTGTCATTACTTTCAGAAACTGATGCTCACTAGCATTTATCGTTATTCGTGTTTTGAATAGACCTCCATTTTTACGAGTGAGATTTTCAAAGAAAGTGGATTTTGTTGACTCGTACAAACTCGTAGTTTTACTATTATCATTGATAGTTTTTATGATAATTATGAGATTAACTTATAAAAAAGGATGCCTAATTATCACACGCAGTAAAACACAAAAGGCAACATACAAGAATAGACACACACCCTTCACAAGCATCACCATCACAGCTACCGCAATCACAACCACCACAATTACAGCTACCGCAATCGCAATCACATCCACTGCAGTCGCAACTATCGGCAGTACAACAATCTCCGCATTCACAGCAACTGTCTTCATCTGAATTTGACGTACTGGAACCTATATCAGTACAACAGCAACAGCAACAAATGTCGTCTGATGATGTTGTTGGAGTGACTCGCCGAGGACGGCGATAGTTTGATGATCGATGTTGACGTTGACGTTTGTTTTCTAATCGCCTACGTCTCTCGTTTATTATCATTGCATTAGTAGAATCTTTATTAAATGCTGTGAAATAAGGATCTTCATTTACGTGCGGTTGATTAATATGCGGAATAACTATGGGTTGTTGTTGTGCATTTTGGTATAAATGTCCTTCGTTCCAAGCAGCATTCAAATCAATGATCATTGGACGAAAAGTTGAATTAGCATTCAGTTGCTCATGATTATTGTCATACAAATAATGATTATTCGATGTAGTATTCACACCAGTAATAAAGAATAAATCATTAGAAAAATCACGCGGTTGTTCAAGATTGTATCTGAGTTGTTGATCCATATGTTGTTTTTCAAAATGTAATTGCACATGTATTTTCATAGAATAGTTTTATAGGTAAAATGTAACGCTGAGTTATGAATATGCGTAATAGGAAAATATTTGTGCAATACTGTCGTTAATATCCATTAAATGACGCCATTTAAATAATAACGACAGCATACGAAATGTTTTTCGATTTCTCTTCTTCCGTAAATTTCCCTCTTACGTTTATTTTATTACTCATGACAAATAGTAATGTTTCGTCTTGCCTTCTAAATATCTAGTACACAATAAATTCTGACTAGCGTCTTATAACACTCATTTATCTATACAAGTATGGATTTATGATATTTTATTATATACACAATCACGTTCTATTCATTGCATTTGATTTTTCAAGAAAATTAAGTATATTTCCTTCACGTCATAGACAAAAATACAGTATCAGATTGAAGGAAGTGTATGTAATGAATATTTTGTTATTCGATCAATCAATCGCAAACTCTTGGCGTATCTTACAAAAAGTTATTATCCACAATAAAGAATAACATTTTTCGTATATATCATCATCCTTTTTTTTTTGATGATATGATATATAAAAGAACACTAGTTAACGTATTCTGTTGTTATACAGGATGTTTGCATATATACTTATTGCATAAAAGTATGATTAGTCGATTTTCTATTACAAAAAGAAATAAAAATCAATGAAGTTCCTAAGCGAGACATGTCATATATTTTTCACATCATTCATTTTCTGATTATCATTTTATTGTCTAGTTTAACATGTCTTTACTAATGGTTAAATATATGTTCTTAAATCTACTGGTAACTAAACACACATAATATAAAAAATAAATAATTTTAAATATATGAATTGAGAAAAACATGTCATATTCGATATATTGAAGGATAGAATTATGTCAATAAGTTCCATCCTATACAATTAGCTCGAGGACGTAACACTTCTTCAGCCCCCTTGTTTTCGAAATTTACCTCGAAAAATATGTCATATTCATATTACATCCCTTAATTAACTTGATGATTTTATAGTTCAAAATCTTCAATAAAACTATATTCAACGTATTAATTTATAATATTTATTTTTTTCCTCATAAATAGTATACATATTCTTAATTTCACTATATTTACTTTAATAATTGGTAATAAATAATAACCTTGCTTTATATTCATTTGAATGTCCTTATAATTCATCAATTCAGATAAATTGACTTTGTATATTATTTAATATAAACGATCAAGGTAAAATATATTTTCCGAGGTTAATGAACTAATTTCAAATCTAAGTATAAAGTTCAATGATAAAATATATATGTTTATAACACATTTTTAAATTTTTCTTATATAACGATTTTGGTTTATTTTCTCGTTAATTAACTTAATATGTATACTACTATTTTAAGTGCAATAGCTTGTTAAAAAACTGTCATATGTCTAATCAGAAGGAAGAAAACATCTTAATTGTATTTCATGTGTATAATATACAAGAAAAATAGTTCTTGCTTACAAAAAGAAAAATATTCAATTAGATAAATTTAAGAAGTGTCCTATAAACAAGGCTATTTTTTTGTTCTTTCTTTCATTGATAAAAGACAGATAGGTTATTTTATCTTATTACACATCATTGATGATAGCGTATCAAACAAAAACATTGGAATGAAAACTGTTCGCTAGCCATATATGATTATTTAGGAAATTTGCATTATGTCAATGACTCTTAATGTGTATATATATAGTTTGACGTTGTCATGTTGACAGATGAAATTGTCGCCAAGCAGATATCTATTTTTAGATTATACATGTGTACAAAAGATTTTCTTCAATGTAACTAAAATCTATAATATTTAATTGAGAATATCGTTTAATATCGAAATTTTCATTATCTACTTGTATATAAGTTTACTCTTATGAATTTTATTAAATATCATTGATAAATTTTGAGTCATACTTGTCACTCTAAATATTTTTCCTTAATAAAAAAAATTGATCGTAATCACAGTAGACAAATTCGATATAAATTATTATGGACATCTTTTTTTTTTTCTTCAATTGTACAATATGAATAATTTTTTTCCTCTTATCAATTGATTTTGCCTTCCGGACAATTCTCTCTTGTCTTCGAATTAAGAAAAAACATGTAGAATCAAATTAATATGAATTAATTTAATTAAATAATTTGTAAAGTTTTTTTTTTGTTTTTATTGAAACAAAAAAAACTAATTGTTTAGATAATTATTAAATAGTATCAATAGAAGGAAAAATATCTAAAGAAAATCAATGTTAGATATTCTAATAAATAAATAAATAAACTAAACACAATCGATAATATATTGTCTTATTGGTGAAGAGAGACGACGTCATCAAGATTTTTTTTTGTGTCTCTTCTGTCAAGAACACAAAGCAAATGACCTTGTTTTAATACAAATCTAACTGTCATTTCTTATCAATTGTATGTTCTTTATTTAAGATTGTATTGATGTATATATATATTCTTTGATAGAAAATGAATAAGAAAATCTCGTTTTTTTTCCGAGTTAATGAACTGATTGTAGATTTGTAGAAAAGATTGAATGATGTTGAAGAAGTAAATAATGTATTTGTCTAAGGCGTTGTCGAAATGATTAGATAATAGTATGGAAATGAACGAGACATCCTATTTGTTCTTCTTTTTCTGTCTGCCTCTCTCTCTCTCTCTTCTATCCTTAAACGTAATTAACAATCATTGCTTGATAGTTACATCATCAATCGAAGAAAAGAAACAGTTGTCAAAACGACTGACTGAGTGGAGATGTCAACCAAATAAAGAACAATGAGAGAGAGAGAGGAAGAGGGAGAGAGAAAGAAAAACGCTTTGCGTTTTAGATACCAAAAAAGAACATCATTGATCGAATCGTCTTCCAACTGTCAAAGTAATGAGGTCTATTTCCGTTATACACGGATGTCGAAACAATTAATATATACTATTGTACTCTATTTGATTGTTGTTTCATATTATTATTTTTCCAAGTGACGTATATATATAGTCTGTCACTATCTTTCTCTGAGGAATAGCACGTAGGTACGATGGCACCTGTCTTTTCTTCCAAATAACCTATTGTTATGTTCTTATAGACTCTTATCTAGATCTTATTTTTTTTCAACTATATATATCTATACGTTGTTTTCCTTCGATGAAGGAAACGTGTAAACGGACTCTTACCCTTTCTCATGACAAAAAAAAAAATAACTCGTTATATAGACAATTGTAAAGTCTTAGAAGAAGAAGAAAGAATAAATGATGAATGCGAATGCTTTTGTTCTATCGTTAACAATCTCTTCTATTCCCAATTTATATATATACCTGAAATATTTTATTATTATTTTTCTTTTACCTATTAGATTCTAGACAATGAACAGTAGTTTACTTGGTAATGGTAATAGCGGTGGTGGCGGTGGTGGTGGTAGTAATACTCCACTTGTATTAAGTCTTCCACCAGTTCCTCAATTAGTTATATTAGGTATTATATTTGTCGCATCAGTTGCTCTCAATTGTATATCAATAATAAGTATTGTTGGTGCCCGAGCAATAACACCAATAAATCTATTAATTATAAATTTGGCTGTCAGTGATATTGTTTATTCATTGACCATTCCGATATTTGCCGTACATATTGTTATTCCATGGTGGCCATTTGGTCGTGTTGGTTGTCAATTGGCTATTGCTATTGATATTATTGCTATGATCGTAAGTTTTTTATTTGTAGAAAAATGAATTCATTTATCAATATAATATCTCGGTGATAACATCACATATGTCCTTTAAGTAAACATAAGCTTATATCTGATCGTCTATTAATAGTACAGATTTATCTAATAGATAAACATTATTAGTTTTATTTCGAAATTTCGAGAAAAAAAAACAACATGTTTAATCTTATTTCTATAAGTTATTCATAGTTTATTAATTTAATTATTTATCGAGACAATATGACTCATTTATAATTGCAATATAATCAAATAAAAATTTTGTCATAATTTTTTTTATTTGTAAAAATTAAATTAATGTCAAAGAGTAGAATGAAGAAGATTTATCTCGAGACAATTTTTATGAATAGAATAAGTTGTAAATTGCTAAGTTCTTAGTTGTTTAAACAAAAAAAAAAATTTTTTGATTGTTTAATAATACTAAAAGCTAATGGAATTTGTCTAGGTTGGTGTTTATACAATAACAGCATTAAGTGTTGAACGGTATATGGATGTACGTGAAACATCACGACGTTATAATGATCAAGTTAAATCAGCATTAGTCTTAGGTTATATAGTTGTATTATGGATATTTGCAATATTATTTCCATTACCAATGTCTTCATCATTATTTGTTCATAATCGTTCTCGAGCTGCATTAGTGTCTGGTGTAAGCGAATGTAAATCACGTTGGACAGCTAATGAATTATCACGTTATGTACAATTAAAATTTGCTTGTGCATTTTTACTTCCATCATTAATAACATGTACATTTTCATTTCGTTTAATATTATTTCTTCATCGTTGGTCAATGAGATCACGACGTTTATCATTATCACATCGTTCATTAAATACATATAAAAGACGTGCAACAACACTTGTTTTATTAATAATCATATTATTTTTTGTACTTTGGTCACCATTATGGATACTTCAACTTTATGATACATTTAATGAACGTGGACCAACACAATATATACAAATATTAAATTTTGTAACATTAGTTTTTGTTTATGCAAATGGTTTATTAAATCCATTACTTTATTTAATATTAACACAAAATTTTCGTGATTATATAAGAACAAATAAATGGTCAACATGGAAATCACGACAACGTTCAAAAAATAATCAAACATTTTTTTATACAACAAAACCAATTATTATTAATGAAAATCAAATTCCTGAACAACAAACAAGTGGAATTTTACATAATGATGATGATCAACATGCTTTTGTACGAAATGAGCCAAGTTCAGCTGCTAATTAATCACAACAACAACAAAAAAACATTTTCTTTTTTTTGTTCATCAAAAGTAAATAATAATGTCTCGGTGGAGTTTCATCTCAAAATAATTATACAAACATATTTCATTTTAAATAAACATAGAAAATCTTAAACAATATGTAATTCGACTTCTTCACTTGATAATTCATTGATTAAAGTCTTGAGACTATTGATTGAAGTGAAATAATCAAAATTTAGTCTTAGTCTTTTCAAGATCAATCAATAATAGTTGATTGCTTAAGAGTATTCCTCTTTTTGATTTTTAACTTACATAATAGTTCTTAGTGTCTTATGTAATTACAGACATCATTCAACCTTAACGAGTTATTGCATTGGTTTTTTTCTATAGGTTTCATCTTACAAGAATAAATAACTTTAGTCAAATTAATCACGTCAGTATAAATAGAATTATTCGAACTACATTTAATTTTTTATATATAAAATTTTAATGATACAACAAATGTATATTATCAACTTGTAATAAACATGATGATTATATTATTAGCTAACTCATAAGTACCTAATATGACATCTTTTAAATTACCACTACGCATTTTTTATTCTAATAATAGAGGTGTTTGTACTATAACTTGAATTTAGCATCGATAGAACGTCCTCATCGCCAAATTAATAACGTTAAAATATTAGGTGCTGTTGGCTTGCCTAGAGGGAAATATCTTAAAATTCGAATATCTTCCTCTAGGCAAGCTAATATTTTAAGCTTATTAGTTTGGTGATGAGCGCTTTTATTTGCTCTGAATATATTCCATCGTTTTAACTAATTTCAGTCTATTGCCTAATTAGTAAAAAGATTTGTTGACATCGTGCATAAGAATATTATCATTTCAAAAAAAAATTTAATTGTTAGTTCTTAATTTTTAAATAAATAATTAAGTCTTTGTATTATTTAAAAAAGTATTAAAATCTTCTTTGAGACATTGTAATACTTGATTTTGACATTCCGATTGAAAACTATGATGTCCAGGAAACATTCGAATACGGAATAAATCTTTTTTTTTTGTTAATTCTGTCCATCTAAATATCGAAATTATATTTTATCATTTTTATAAAAAAAATATTTTCTTCTACTTATTTAAAAATGGTTCAGTAATAAATTCTTCTTTTTCTCCTCCATAAGCAATAATTGGAACATCTATTGGAGTAGATGGAATTACTTCCGCACCAATCTAAAATAAGAATTTGAATTTGAATTTTTCATAATAGAAATGTAACTAACTTTTGAATCAGCTCTATACAAAGGTATTAACATTTCAATAAATGGTTTATAGTCATATATGTCTTTTGTACTAGGATCTAAATAAGAAGAATTTTTTGCATAAGAATAAAGTTTGTATTTCTTTAAGTTAAAAATAATTAAACCTGCTGTTCGTTTGAATTCTTGAACAAGTTCTTCATCCGTCATGTTCGTAGTAGATGGATCAACATCTAAAAATAAGATATTTTATAAAAAATAAATCAACTTCTCCTTTTCTTTTAAACAAAATTCATTCAAACCTTGTAAATGAGGTGGTCCTTGTGCCATTACAATAATTAATTTAATTAAATCTGCTTCATAGGATCTTGTTTCAATCATAAATCTAGCGAATGCAAAACAAATTCTAGCTCCAATACTAAAATCAAATATAAATATTAATAGAAAAAACAATCAAACTTCTATGTCTTAATAAAAATACCTGTGTCCAATAAAAATACATGGCTTTTTAATATATGGTAAAAGTTCTCGATATAATTGACCAAGATATTCTTTCATAGTTGATAAATAATTTTCACTCGATCGTTTTGCTCGTCCAGGATAAATTACTAATGAAAATTCGTATTCAGGAAAACTCCTATCCCAATCATTATAATATGAACCTTAGATTTAATAGAACAAAAAGAATTTGATATAACTAATTAAATATTTAATTTATATACCTGGAACACCGGCTCCTGGAAATATAAATACTTGATATTTAGCTGATGGACGTGAATGACAAATTTCAAACCAAGGATGAGTTTTAGTCGAAGAACTCGCCATTCGATTCATTTCTAATCGATACAATCAAAAAAAATTAAACTATAAGTATAAGATTTATTTTATCTTCAATCATATATCGTTTTATTATTACATAAAACGTGCGTTTCACTGATGCATAACATAAAAACAATACGATTTATATTTTATACTAAAGCGAATATGATCAGACGCACGCTAATGACATCATACAAAAAACAAGTCGTGCGTGTACATAGAAATCAAGTGCAAGTGCAAAATAATATTATTTATATTGAAGCACGAACATATAGACGACGATGTATCACGAGATGGTGCGATGATTAAAATATTTAAAATAATAGTTCTTCTCATGTCCTCAAAAAATTGTCGATTAAACGAAATATAAAGTAAAAAGAAAATATATTAAATTCTTCATTTTTTTATTATACAATACTTCAATACTAACAAATATCTTCATGAGGCAATTAATTAAAAAGATTTAACTAGTAATTTCATTTTATCAGAATATACATGTGCTGAACCATGTATCATTAAATGTGAATTTTTTTTAATTTAAATTGTCTATATATTATTGCATTCGTTCTGATACTTCTTAACCTCTTCATTCAATGTATATTTTGTCACAATCATTACATTCAGTTTTTAAATTACCTCTACTTGTGTTAAACTTGTATTTATGCAATGTGTTTTCATAATTTTCGACTAAATATGAATAATTGACGATTCTAATAACTTAATATTATCTTTTAATATACTTTTGTTCTTACTATTCTAATTTTTTTTATTATTGTATATGTTATTATTATTACGATGATTATTATTTAAATTTAAGTTAGGGTGTGGATGTCTACTTTTTCTATTTACTTTCGCATCTACACTCACACCGAAACCCTCACCTACACTCACACTCATATCCACACTCCAACTCTCACCAGATCCACCGTCATACCTTCATGATAGCCTTAAATTGCGTGTATCATTAAGAAAAGCTAGTTACTATCGAAATCTGGATTCAATCAACATTTCTAAATGAGATTTGATTAGAAATGTTTTCGGTCACATAAATAGACTCTCAAATGCTTTAGCACATGTGACTGTGTAAATGAGTGAACAATAATCGACAAGAATCATTACACATCTGATAAGTTAAGAGAATGTGATTTTATTTTGAAAGAAAAAAGCATAATAATTTTTGAGGAAAGTTAGAAAACTAAATAAAGCTGCTTGAATAATAATAATAGAATGAATGTTTCTTTTAATTCCGAGCAATCTCAGCGTAAACATAAACAAAATCAGTAGAATCTTTTAACTCTTTAAATGTCCCATCCATTTTTTGATTAATCTGTTGTAAAACAGTCATACTTGTATCACCAAGAGCAACGGTCCAAAACTGATTAATCATAGTTTTCATGGCTGATAATGTTTCCATTTGACTAAAAGGAAACCCTCCTTGTCCATCGCTCATAAAAATAATGACATAATCGGAATGTCCTAAAGAATTATATGCTGAACTCTGCATTTGTGTTTTCTGAATGGTTTTAATTACCAGATCAAATGCATTTCCAAAATCTGTTCCACCATTTGTAAATTCTATTTTGGTTATATCGATTGATTTCATATCTTCATTAAAGTAAGCATACTTTGCTTGACTGTCAAATACGATAATTGTTATACGATCTGATGAACCGGAATCAACGCGAATCTTAATGAATTCTCTAACACCCTCAAGTAAATTTTTCCATGGTTCACCATCCATTGATCCAGATGCATCAAGTAATAATATGTAATGAAATGGTTTTGCTGTAGCTTGGGCTGTATTTTCTGTTACAAACTTCATATCGTATTTTTCACACAGAAGCGTACCAATTCTACTCCAAACATTAAGAAATTTACCGCGCAATTTAAATAATTCATCGGATGTGATTGAATTACCAAAATCCCAATCAGGATAATCGTTTGTAAATTCTGACCATTTTTTCTTTGTACCCCGAACAACAATTGGTCTGTCAGGTGTCATCTGTTCGCATTGGAATAATGATGCTTCATTTGAAACTTCAAATTTAATACCAGCCATTGCTCGCAACTGATGGCCAGTTTGGCAACAATGACGGTTGTCTTCATCTCCTGAAATCATAACAATAAAAAAATTAAGTGGACGAGATATATTTTCCATAAACCCCTCTAAATCACCTTCAAATATTCCGCTCTTCTGTGCTGGAAGAAAGTCAGCAACGAGGCCTCAGGATATTCCAAGACTTAATTATGTGATAGCTCTTCATAGATGCTGTAACTATACTAGTTACTTACTACGGGTGGACAAATTGTTTTTGTCTTACTCCAAAAGAATACATAAAGGTTCTTAATTCAGTAAAGAGTTGTCGCAAAATTAGCTTTTGAATTATCATTAGGTCTTGTTTCTGACTTAGGTGTATTATATAAAAATCGAATTCTTTAAGGACTAGGAGATATCACGTTCGTCAACCTCTTTCAAAAGTACAAGAAATATTAATATTCAACGATTAATCATATTCAAACCAGATGATATTCGAAAGAAATTCAATTTTACGTGACAATACCTGCATTGGATTTGATTAAAGTATGATCAACATCGCAGGGCCGTTGACAACATGGACATTTTGAGGTACACCCACGTACTTTATCCAATAGTTTGTTATAGATTTGATCTTTATCATAGGCTTCAAATGTAGTTGGAGTTTCATCATACGTATCTTCAATTGTTTTTCTAGCATCTATAATACTTTGAAGAAAGACATGCAAATTCTTTATTGAGGCGACTGTCGTTCGATTATTATTCGATTTATCAATATCTTTCATTCCATTTATTATATCAGCTAACTGTTGACTTGGTATTGGTAATTTTTCAAATAGTTTCAATCCCTTTGTGTTCAATGTATAATTTTCATTAAATACTGTATATGATGTTCCTGGCTGTATTTTATTACCAGATAAATAATCATATAATAATAAAACCATACATTGACCTTTATTTATCAAATTATCTGCAGCAATTCCACCTGATGCTGAGAATATATCATCAATATATTGGACAGATGAACCTTCGTTTGTAAGAGATGATATTATATACTCAATACGATTAAAAAACTCAATTAATATATTCTTCCATTGATTTTTTTGTTTTTCTAACTGTTGATTAATTGTTTTTTCAACTTCTCTCCATAACACTTGAAATTCTTCTATGATAACATCAGTTGGTGCATCGATATAACGAAATAACCAATCGTCATCATCTGCTGCTGCGTGTAGTTTCCCATCGCAAATTATTTGAACTTGTTTTCGATTTAAGTTTTGTTGTTTTTTAATAATACGTGCTATTATAATTTCGGCATGACGCATCAAATTCGATTGAGTAGCATTTTTTACTTTATTGGCAAAAATTTCAGCACCTTCGTTATCACATTGTGCATCAGGTACAACCATGCTAATAAAATATGTTAATAATGATTGTCTTTCTTTATTCAATGTTGAAATTTGTTGACTAAAGTGATTTTTTTGTTCACCATAATAATACATTGTTAATAGTATAAGAATAAAGGTATGGATAGATGACTTTGTTTGTTTTGATAATGCCCATTTGAAAACAAGTAATTCAAGATTTATTTCATTTATAAGAGTGTTAATCAAACCCACGATTTTTTGTATTAAATCAACTTCAATCGGTCGGCGAATTGTACCATTTCCATCAACTATTGCTATTATAGCGTTTAGAATTTTTTCAAATAACCGTGGTATACATAATATGTTTGCTGTCTGATTCGGTGAGCAATCCATCTCTGCATGAATTGTCCAATAGACGTACCGTATATAGTCATACTGTAATGGTGTCGGATTGACAGGCACTGCTATTTGTTCTGGTGAAGTCGTTGTCGCCGATTCAGAACTGAAGAAGCCTGCGATAGTATCCAAACCTCTTCGCACTAGAGTAGGCCTTGCATATTTCTGCTGTGTTCTTCCATGAGATAGCCGATTTTGTTCATCTCGATATGTTGGCGTCTGGATATAGTTGTCTTGATACATAGTGCAGGCCATATACTTATCTTTCAGTATTTGTTTATTTAGATAGCTAAAGTTTTCGATCGTGGCTAACGTATATGTGACATTTGCACTCGATTCTATCCAGTGTTGCTCCAAAGCACTTTGTCGTTGTTTATATGTATTAACAGAAAACTGTCCTTGTATTGAAGTAATTACATATTTTATGTTCGATTTTTTAGTTAATTGAGTAACAAATGGTAAATAATTAAGTATATGTTCATGAGCTGGTAGACATTGTTTTTCAAAAATATTATAATTGCCGTAGACAAATTTAATTGCTTGTTTCAATCGTTCTTGTGGATCGAAACTTCGATTAATTGATTCTAATTTTTTGATCCACATAATAGAAAATTCTTCTGTAGCTTTTTCTTTCGTCATCGTTTGTCCACTCTTAATTAATTCATCAATCAGTTTTCGTAGATCATCAGAACCATCTCGCACTAATACTTCCATTTGTTTTTGATCATGCGCTTGTAACGCTGCTGTACACCATGCATTGCTAATTTCCGTCACTTGCCGTTTCAGAAATTGTCTGCATCTGTCTCTTATACGTTCAGATGCACTGGTAGCTTTAAAAATAATTTTTAAATCATTATCTAGATCATTTTGATGTACATCAAATTTCGCTTGAAATTGTTTTCGTATTTCATTTTCTGTTAATTGGCACAAATCAGTTATCGTTTTATTTCGATAATCTGCCGATAATGTTTTAGATATGAGTTCGCCAATATGTTGGCGTATTCGATCATCTTGTCGACGTTCATTAATGTCTTTAAAATATGTTAGATCTGGAAATTTTTGTAATGTGTCAAATATAGTAACAGCTGTTCTAAGCCATTGGGATGGATTAGATATTGTCTCACCAGATCGTCCGTAAGATGATTTCGCTGATTCAATAATTTTTTCGCATAATTGTTGTGTACGTTGAATAAAATCTGGTTCTGTACGTATAAAACATGGACTTTGAGCATCGTTCGACACACGTTCTTTTTTAAATGCTGATGGTAATGTATGAAAGGTTTTTGGATTAATATCAATAACTTCCGCTAATTCTTTTTCTTTACAATCTCGAATTATTCTATCAATAGCTTCTGTATGATTTTTCATATTTGGATCAGCTTTTTGATTTAAAACGAAGTGTATAATTGGTTTATCGACTTTATTTACACCAATTTGTTTTAATGAATCTGCACATAAAGTTAGCATATCTTTTAATGTTTCATTGACATCACCCATCATATTAACAATAACTAAATGTGAAACAGCTAAACAGAATAAAACTAAACGTCTATCATATTCCTGATCACTCTTTTCTATGGATAAAAGACCTTCAGTATCGATTAACATGATATAATCTATGTCTGGAATTTCGGCGTTAAGAGTTTTACCCAAAGTTTTATTACCACTTTGATTTGATTTATTTAGTTTCACTAAAGAACCATAAATTCCTCTTGTACAACGTCCTTCTCGTACATCGAAGAGTGTTCCAAACATATAATTTAACAATGTACTTTTCCCACTATTTTGCGGACCAATGATGCTGATAACTAGTATTCGTTTGGATACGAATTCGTTCAAAATTTTTGTTAAAAACTGATGTTGAAAATGTAAATTATCACCATCAACTATTTCAAATGGAAAACCAGCTGCAACGAAATCAGAATATGATTTTTCAATTAAGCTTTTTTTATCATTTGTTGTATGATTATAACAAACAATTGCATTTCGCCAAAGTACTTCCAATGATAAAAATGCATTTTCCACTGTTAAATCACCAGTGATTTTCTCACTATCCAAAGTCAATAGTTCATTTTTCAATTCTGTTGATAATAGTTCCAAACTCATCAGCATATTATCTGATTTTAATATATCGATAAATAAATCAACTACATGTCCTTTTTTAATTGGTGACGATGTTTTTGTATTTGGATCTAATTCATTTTCTAATTTATTTAGTTTATCATAAATTTCGAACATATTTTCACTTTCTGAACCATAAAAATCAATTTTTTTCAATTTTTGTCGTAGTTTACATAATTCTTGAAATTTTATATAAAGTGGAAAGTTATTGTCATTTTGTAAATCATTTTTTTGTAATAAAAGTTTTTTTAATGGTTGAATTATATAATTTAATCGGTTCAAATAGTCGACATAATCTCTTGGCATTAAATTTTGTAAATTTGATAATATTTTATGTTTATTATTTGTTCGTACTTCTGATCCGATTTTTATTAATAATTCTTCACGTAATTTTTTGATAGCAAACTTAATATTTCGATCATTTGTATTGGAAATATTTATCAATGGATAAGTGTATAGTTTTTGTGAAGAATTCGCTCGAAATTGTTTTAATAAATTCTGAATTTCGAATGAATATTCTGGTAAGTTATTAACTGATGTATCACGTATAATAATCATTTGAAATTTGTTTTCCGGTAAAATGTGTAAATATTCAATTAGAATTTGTGAATGTCGATCTAAATATGTTTTATCAATTTGTATTAAAAATCCATCAAACAATGGCTGGATTTTAAGCAATAATTTTTTGTCAATTATACCGTGTGTATCAGCAATATTTAATGTTCGTTCGGGATTAAAAGCATAGCCAAAATCAATATCAATTGTTTGTTGAAAATAGATACTATCAACTGTTTGTTCAAATGTTGATTGAAATAATTGATTTAATAATGTTGATTTTCCTTTACATGGACCAATGCCAAATGATAATATCGTTGGTCGCGTATAATTCCATACATGTAGAATAGCAGGTGCAAATTGATATTGTTCATTTTGACTTCGATTTTGAATATTTGGCAAAACAAATGGTACTGGATTACGTTTACTTAATAATGACATGATGATTCGTCGTAAAAATATATCAGAATTTATGAATAAAATATGTAATAACATTCGAAAGCTTAGATTTAATCTTTCTATTGACGGGTCCATTTCTTGATATTTGTATGAAAGTGAAGTAAAAAAATCATCTAAATTTTGTTGTCGTTTTAATAAATACATAATTGGTGTTAAACAATCCTGAAGAAATTGTAGTATTGTGTATTGTCTATAATTAAATCGATCAATTAAATTTTTTGTTATATCATCTAATGTTTGATTAATATATTGTAATTCACCAGCTTGTACTAAATCTTCTAAATAAAATGAATTGGATTGTGCACGACAAAAGCTCCAAATGATATTTGATTCTTTATCATCACGAGGAATACTTGTTATCGATTTATATTCTGAATCCGTTTTTGAATTAACAACAACCGAACGAACAACTGTAGTACTGATTACATTACTATAAAAGTTACTTGCTTGTGTGATGCTTCGGTTGTTATTTTGAACGTGATAGTTGGTTAATGGATCATTCATGTTTCTGATGGCCAACTTAGAAGTACTCTCAGAATATTTTGATATGTCTTCGTCTATAAATAGATTTTATAAAGCCACATTCTTATTTACATCGACCTTATATGAAATTTTTGTATATACTCAAACCACTGAATTTTATTGTTAATAGCATATCGACCCCCTCATATTAGAAGAACTGTGATCTTCTATTACGTCCCAGCGTAAAAAAGCTTCCGAGGAGATCGTCTAATATGTCCCGCTTTTCCATAAGTTTTAATTAAGAAGATCTTTTAGGAAATCAAAACTATTGTGAGGTTTTTGGAAGGATCTTTAAAGATTTAAGAACCCAAATATTAGCTTGACCTCAGTTTTGTGAAGATTTTCAGGGCAAAATCGTGAAAAATTGTCACATGTTTACGTAAATATATTAATACAAAATGCCGTTTTTATGAGAAATTAATAAGTTAAGAGGAATCTTCTATTGTATAACACAATTACTGTACATTTTACATCGGAGTAGCTTAAATAATAAGATCAATCGACGTCGAAACTGACAGGATAATTAGAGGAAAGAAGAATGTGTGGGTAATTAAGCTTATATATATACACCTACAATAAGCAAGCAAATCTCAGAGGGCGTTCAAATAGAAAGAAGAGAAACTTTATTTTACATACTATAATCAATTTTGCACTCAGCTTTTCCAATAAAATATCCATTCATTTCACGTCTGGCTTTATAAGCCATATTATTATTTTCATATTGAATAATTGCATAAGCGCGTTTTGATGATGACTGTGGAACTTTAAGATCAACTAGAACAAAATCATGATTTCATTTCTTGTTTAAAGTAAATCTTCTTACTTTTTTCAATTGTTCCGTATTGTCTAAAAATTTCTTTTAATTTCGATTCTCTTATATCCCACTCAAGATTTCCCACAAATAATGTACGTGTTGGTTCATGTTGAACATATGATTCCACTGCACTGCGACTTAACGCATAATCATCAGTCTTTCCTCGACTTTTGATTGCGCCTGATGATGTTGAGATTGAACGACTACGACTGCGTCGTCGATTATAACGAGCTGGTGATGGTGACGAACCTTGCCGATACCGACTTAGTTTTGAACCAGCATGGTCAACTGAATCCGGTGATATTCGGATATAAGGGGAATGATGTTGACTTGAATGAGGTGGTGGTATAAATTTATGATGAGATCGATTTCTAACTGATGGTGGCGGACTTGAAGATGGACGACGTGAATCACGTTTTGGAGATGGTGGAGAACGTCCACGTAGGCTTCTAGGGTTAAGGGGTTGTTCTGCCGAAACTGTTCGATGATGGTAAACACTTAAATAAAGTAACTAAATAAAAGATTTTGATGAAAAACTGAAAACTTACGGTTCTAGAACAACTTGCATATTCTCCCAAATAAGACCTGTTTTAGCATGACGTGCGTCTCTTGCATCTTCACAATTCATAAAACTAACAAAAACTACACGTTCTTGATTTTCATAAAATATTTTAACTCTATTTGTACCATATTGAGAAAATTTTTTATTGCATAATTCTCGAACTTCTAAAAAGTAGAAAAAAGGAAAAAATTATGCAAATTTTTAACTAATGTTTATTTACGAGAATCGGCAGTTTTTGGATGAATATTTTTCACACAAATTGATGTGTAAAGTCGATGATGATCGGTATTATTACCAACATCAATTGAACCTGATGGTTTGGAACGTTTTGATGGTGGTGTACGACCACTCGATGGTGATCGTGAATAGCGTGTTCGACGAGAACTACCGCCGCTGCTTGAAAGTGGAGGTGAACTCATTTCTATTTCATTTTATCTGTCTGATCTGAAAATGAATGTCTATACACTAAGAAGGTAGGAGTACTTAATAGAAATAACAATGGAACACCGTATTATATGGATTCCAAGCACTGACAGGAAAACATTAGAGGATGAATACACTTTTGCATTTGTTGTTTTGAATAAGGTAAAAAAAACTCATCGAATATTTTTATCGTGCGTAACTAACCGTGCTCTCAGCTATGAAAAACTGAACGCTTATCGTTTCTTGCATATTTTTTGCCACGTTGTCTTCTTTTTATAAAACAAAAGTATTTCCCTTGTATGAAACTCGTATCGATGTCTTTTCCTGGATTTTTTGTATTTAGATTTTGCGACATATTCTCGGACACGCCTCAACTAACAGTGAAATCGATTTTTACTTACGTCTTTTGTTTGTTAAAAACTTGTTTTCTATTTTCTGGTAGAAAGATTGTGACTGTTAATAAAATAAGTTAAGAAAGACGACAGGAAACAACTGACTGAATATATGGTAACGTACACAGTAAATAAGTAGATGAAAATATTAAACGTCAGGAAAAATTAGACTATTGCAATTAAATATACATGTAACAGAAAGAAAGAAAACTAGACGACAAGAGAACACATAAAATACTACATAAAGAATTTTCTTCGTTACTTTACAGCGTTTTGACTATTTTTATGTTCCTCACATGCTATCCCTTTTGGAGCAAAAGGAAAACAAGAAAAAAATTTCCGCGAAAATCTACCAATGATAGAATCACAAAAGCTATAAAATCTTTTATTTTTATTTTTATTTTTATTAGCAAAGAAACTGGTGATCTCGCTAGCTTTTACAGACCATAGATTTAAAAAGTAAGAAATAGTAGTAAGTCGAACGGATAAAGAACAAGAGAAGAAATTGAAGTTGCTACATACGTCCATCTTGGTCGTACGATAATCGCAAGCAAATTTAAAAAAGAAAAATTGAGGGTGTGGGTATATAGAAAATACAACATCCACACCCTTAGTAGCTTCTATCTGATATTCTGTAGACAGTTGAAATTTATCTGTATTTTATTACCTTATACTGTATAACGGTAGATAGCGTATGCAAGACTAACGAGAAGCCAAAATATTTTATTTTTATCACCATTGTACTACCTAGTTTTTGTTGCAGCCAGAAGATTCGTCTATGGAAGAATCTTTGCGGTGCGATCTGGCTGAGTACGTATTCTACCGACTATAGTCTTAGAGATTCAACTAAGAAACTACGTGCGTGTCAAGGTAAGATTATATGAATTTCGGCTCAGACTGGCTCAAACTTCTGATGATTTCTCGATCCGAACCCAAAGTCGTCTGATCAAACTTTTTAGATAGCCATATTTTGATAAATTATACATGTACTTCGTAGTGCTGATCAGAACGTCCTACTGCCAAGCAGGATATTCTATTCGAAATGTGATCGGAATTTCAAACCAGATCAGAATTCTGGTCTCCACTAACAAGTACCATTTGGCATTGTCAGAAGATCAAAAAACAAGCAAAAAGTTGCATCTATCAACATGCAGGCATAGAAAGAATGTGTAAGAAGAATAGAATGTATATTATCTTGTTCACAGCTTGAGATGAATTTAAAAAATAATTTTTAAAAAAGTCTTAAAATATATTTAGTCGCAGTCTTGTACAACTAACGAGGGAACGTTGTCAGGTGTTGGTCTCGGATTTCAATTATTTTCCGGCCAATAAGTACTATGTAGTGCCCTAATAAAAACCCTAAAAGGATTTGAGTTGTTATTCCTTCCTTCAAAGGTTATGGCCATTTTACTGAATTTTCGGCCTGGCCCTGGGTATAGATCGAGAAAACCTAACTAATGAATTTCGACTTGAAATTTCGCCCATAAATAGATATAACGATCCTAAGAATATCCTGAAAGTTTCAGCCAAAAAGAATCTTCCATTATCGAGATATCGAATTTTCAAGTGAACTCGGGTCCTATGACCGATCTGCGACAAGCGAGCATATTTTAAAAATTCGATATCTCGATAACGGAAGATTCTTTTTGGCTGAAACTTTCAGGATATTCTTAGGATCATTATATCTATCTATGGGCGAAATTTCAAGTCGAAATTCGTTAGTTAGGTTTTCTCGATCTATACCCAGAGCTAGGTCGAAAATTCAGTAAAATGGCCATAACCTTTGAAGGAAGGACCATCAGCTCAAATCCTTTTAGGGTTTTTGTTAGGGCACTACATAGTACTTATGGGCCGGAAAATAATTGAAATCCGAGACCAACACCTGACAACGTTCCCTCGTTAGTTCGAGAGAAAAAAGCTTTCTTATGAAGCTTAAAAAGAGTTTCTAAATTACTTTTCAGTTTCGTATAGCACTTACTGTTTCAGTGTAGTCTACGGTGTTGTTTTTTATGAATGTTGATGCACGAATGCGTTCGAATAATTTACAAATGTTTCTTCTGACGAGTGTCTATTGTTATTATTGAGAGAAAAATTAAAAAAATACCACGTTCTTACGTGTATTCGTCGTTATGTACACAATTCGAAAAGCAAAAAGTAACATAGTGCGTATTAAGATGGATTTTTACAGTCAGCATGTGCGAGTATTTTCATGTGTTCATTTTATAATTAAAGAAAAGAACGGGTGCGTGTGGATGTGAGTGAGGATAGGTGAGTGGACGTGTGAGTAAGGATTGGCTCATGTGGGTGTGAGTTCAGAGAGGAGACACGTACACCCACATCAACACCTAAACATCCACCAAACTCCAATCGTTTAGGTTTAGATTTGACTGTGGCTTAGACATCAAGACTATCGATATCTGATTCAAATTCAAACTCATACCCAAACCTAAACTCAATACTTAAACTCGTAAGTATCAAAACTATTTGGGGTTTGGTTCATGTCTACCCATACTCAGACATACCCGCGAGAAAACAAGAGTATGCGACAAGTAATACGTACTAAGTTTGGTTAATCGCAAATGACTTGTTATTCTACCGTTTTCACGCACATGTTGCTAATGACTTCTCTTGACGAAGTGTAGAAATGCATAGAGCACAATTGATTCACGAATTATAAGCACATTTAAACGAAGGCTTTATTATACCGACATAGAAAGAGTGGCGACTAAAGTGAATAGTCTAGGCTGATAAGAACTGCTTGTTTTCTTTTCAACTGTTGATAATAATATTCATCGTAAAATCGCTCCCTGTCTCTCTGTTAAAGATAAAAGAAACCTTCATATAACGTCCGAGATAATGTTACACTATGAGAAGAAAATAAAAAATATTCATTTTCTTTTTCTGTGTTTCAATAACAAATAGTGCTTTTCTTTGCCCATGAAACTTAGCATAAAGAACCGTCTTGAGACTGCGCGTGAAGGCGTTGGGTGGTGTGAGTAAGTGAGTTTGAATGTTTTTTCTTTATCGACACTCACAACCTTAGAATTGGGCACAAATCCATATAGGCTTTTCCCTACCTCAAAGTCTTCTATCGAATGAAACATGTACGAAGTAAATCGGAGTGTATCACCTTGGGCGATTCTCTCGTTACCATTATGCTTTCAGGTCACATCCTCTCCTGCATCTACATCCATATTAATGCCCCCCGATCACAATCTCGCCCTTACCTACGCTCAGCTCTATGCATTCTGATCATACCCTCTCCCTCACCCACACTCACCTCGAAACCCTGCGACTAGACTGTCACCCATACCCTAAACTTTTAGAAGATAGGGTGTAGGTGTGAGTATATTTATCTTCGCTTAACCCACACTCACCCCACACTCACCCCACACCTACACACACCGACATTCACGCCCACCCACACCCTTTTTGTGGAAAACGCGATAGTAATACATATTTCCCTTGATCGCAAAACGTTTTTCTCATAAAAACTCCAAAACTGAACGTTAATTGAAAATCCCTTATAAAATAATGTATTTTATTAAACATTTCTTTATTAAAATATAAAAATAAAAATAAAAAAACAACATGTTGAGCTGAACTATGGAAAACCGATGGAACATTCGAACTTCCCTTATAAAATAGTGTATTTTCTTCGAGTGTTCGTTTAAGTGTCAGTATGTGTAAATAATAGAATCCACACCCACACCCTAGTGCATCCATTTCTTAATTTAAAATTTTGAATTACTGTTAGATGATGTTGTTCTAAATTAGTAATAAATAAATCGACTATAGTAGGTGCAAGTGGAGAACCCATATCGCCTCCGTCAATTTGTCTAAAATAATTATTATAAAATCGAAATTGTAAATCTCTTACTGTGAAATTAAAGAGAATAAATAATTCATTTTTTGTGCTTTTATCAGTTTATTTGCTTCATCAACTGGTATGTCAGGAAAAAGTGATTCAGTATGAAAAATCATCATTTATACATTATTATTAATTTGTACTTTTTTTTATTCACTTGATGAAACTAAATGAATCTTTTGTATATGGTTGACTTTGTAACACATTTTAGATAAAGAAAATGTATCAAGTTCAGAGTTTGATGCATAGGTATAACTGGTCGTAATGGCAAGTTCGTTTTATGTACTTTAACTGTACAATATAATAACGGAATTGAACTACCTGATATAAATAAATCATCGTAAATCGTTTCTTAATCCTTTTTTATCAATACTTGATTCGTCATTGAAATTTTTTACTAAATTTATTATCATCTTGTTACAATTGGTTAATTCTACTTATATAATCTAATTTATCCATACATACCACTGCATTATCTTTATCAACACTTAACATGATTATTGATTGATCCATTTTTAATTCTTTTAATGTAAGATGTACTTCTTCACTTAATTTAGAAGCTCTTTTATTTTTTAATTTTTTAATCATTTCATTAAAAATTGGTTTAATTTGATTAATTAATGGTACTATAGTAATATTTCTCTATTATGAATCATCTTTAATTTTTAGTCAATTGTACTCAAGGGTGTGGATGAGTGTGATTTTCTTCTTCACGCACCCACACCTGTAAGGGTGTAATGCAGCTTGTATAATCAACTTTTAATTTTAATATCAAGCCGTCTATTGAGTTCTATTCAGAATTTAATTATTTGATGTATAGTGTCTTAAAAAGACTGTAATATCATGCTCATATTCTTCTGTAAATAATTAATTCTTGACACATACAGTTTCTTCTAAAACACCACTAAACCAGATCAAAATTTTGATCAATTAATCTGTGCCATACATAAAATAATTTCTAAATATGGGTATCATAAGTTTTAAAAGTGTTGTATGAGATAAATGTTGCTTTCTAATAATGCCAAAATAGTTGCACATAAAACAAAAAACAAATATCGTCTAACTACACGCTTTCGTATATAATTATTTTCGTGTATTTTGTTAATGTAAGAATACTGTTCAATTACTTCCATTTTTTTCTCCGAATGTTATTTATATATCATGTGCGTTTCATACAATCACCCGAACAAGGAGATATATGTTGTTACTTCTATCATGTAAGGTAAAGAGACCAAAGCAACAACGATTGTTTACGTACCAGTGAAGCGTATAGAGACAAGAATATACAAGTCTTCACTCTGTATATATTCCTTTACTTATTTGCTTTCGTTTAGTTTCAAAACGAGTGTTTGCGACGCTTCTGTTTCGGCTTCAATCTTATTGAGATATTAATTCACGGTAATTACCTCTATACCATTTCTATCTTGTAAATATCATTCAAACAATATCTTTCATATTGAAAATTATTCCATTGTTGAGATGTAATGTAATTACATAACTAGCTCTTTAGATTCCTTTAATTCATCAGATTTATCTAATGACAATATGGTCAAAAAATATGAAAATCTAATTTTTTATTGTGAAAGAGGTATGTTTATTCGAGTAATGTATTCAATTAGATTTAAATTGGTTCACGTCTTATGGCATTGTTAGAGTGAATACTTTATTTTTTTTGATGTTATACGTGAGTGTATGGTGCGATTATTAAGTGAATCAAGAATGTCAGCTGTATTGTAAGAAATGGCAGATACGATTGAAGAGAAAGAAAAAATGTGAGTATATTGTATTTTGTTCTTTTTTATGTTTGGCATGTTATTCTATATTATAATATATATACGATGGATCGGTCTTATTTTTATGCAATAAACGATACGATTATTATTGAAAGGATCATAAGCTATGAAGAAGCGACGACTGCAAAGTTAAATATGATATTTTATACATTTCGATTAAAGTAAGTTTGCTTTATGCCGAGGGTGGGTGAGTATGAGTATATTAGCCATAACACACTCACACCCTCAAGATGTAACGTTTAAAAGAACTTTTTTAATTAATAGGAAAAATGAACGACGATATTATGACTTAGTATTATGCCCTGTCAATGGGTGTACGTGTACTTTCGAGTCAGACGTTGAATTACGTGAACACATTGCATCCAACTCACATACAGTTCCGAAACAAGTTCCACGAACAGCAAACGATGCAGCTCGAATGCATTTAACAGAGATGGTACGAATTACACGATCGTGTACAAAAGCGAAAGCTGCTCAACAACACAGTTCGACTTACGATCTATCAACGTCTTGTCATAATGAATGTTTCTCAAATTGTGGGTGGGCTTTGCGTACAAGAAAATTGAGCAAGCCGATGAGTGATAACGTAAAACTTTTTCTCAAAGAAATTTGGCTCGAGTCAATTAAGACAAACTCACGAATCATACCCGAAAACATTCAACAACGGATAAGAACGAAAAGAGATGAAGCTGGAAAAAAATATTTTAAAACGACCGAATATCCTTCGAAAAATCAAATACAATATCAATGTCGAAGACTTTTCGTCGAATACCCTGTTAGTTCACGGCAACAGCTTATCGTCGAACTTATTGATCAAAATATAGAGGCACCTAATAACAACAATAAGTGTGAAACACTACGTTTTACAAACTTCATGAAAATTCTTACTAATTACAAGAAAACATATTAACATACATTACTTACTAACATTTTAATACTATAACTTAACAAAATAATAAAGAAATCATCAAAACCTACATGAAAACGATTATCTTCATTTTAAATACTTCCTTCGAACGCTTATTTTATTGTAAAATAGAAAATGTAAACCAACACGTATCACATATTTTACTTTCTATTCTTGTTTTTTTATAAATATTTATTCCGAAGAGCAACATACACGAAAGAAAAAGATAAAAAGAAAAAAAAACAATATTATAGACGTGATTACATGAGGCAGAAAGAAAAACAAACAAAATATTTGAAAAAAACCCACATTTAATGAAATAAAAGAAAATGACAAAATATATTTTATTTAATATTTTTAAAGAATACAAGGTAGAATTTTATTTCATATGGGATGTTCAGCTGTTAATCAATAATTTCAGTTCAATATCTTTGTCTTATTATTATACTTTGATAAAAAAATTTCGAAGAAAATACACTATTTGATAAGGGGATATTCGAATGTTCAATTGGTGTTCAATAGTTCTAGTTCAACATTTTTTTTATTTTTTGTTTTAAATTTATTGTTAAAGTTTTGAGCTGAGATTTTCGTTGAAAACTAGACATCCGTAAACTTCAAATTTCGAGCTCACTTTTTTGACCTGACAATGCAGACCAAACTTTAAATTCATGAAAATGGAGCCATTATTGGGAAATCTCGTACTTCATATACACACTGCCAAAAGACGTACTAAGTACAGTGTCTACAACTACAGCAGAAACAGATCGTATGATAGTAAAATTCATAGTGACTATATCGTGTTTTCAATCTTGAGTGCTTAAACACCACTATTCGCTCCACTAATGCTTACTCTACGAATGTAATATTACCAATACGCTATTTGAGTATTGGCATTGGGTGCAATTGATATCGGTGGGTATGAGTACATCTTCTTTCTAAAATACAATAATTAATCTGATCAAACTATTTGACAAAAAAGAGTTTCTGTAGAAAAACTTGATTTGTTTGAACATATTATTCAATCATTCATTTCTGATATTCATTTAAAAACGATTCTTCATGCGTTATCATCACATGTGAGCCCCCTGTCATTCGAATACATCTGGTTAGTATCAAGAAATGATTAATATTCTTCACATCTGTATTTATATCCACTCAATTGTACGAATAATGATTTGTCTAATATCAAATATGGCTCTTTTTCAACAACCGCCATACAATATCATTCCGAAATAATACTCCAACTCATATATTATTTTGTGAATGATTAAATTATTTGATTACTTATAAAAACATTTTATAATTCAGTTCACAAAAGAAAATGTTATTCTGCCTATATAAATTAATAAAGCTCAGCACTATTGAGATAACCATCGCTGTTCTGTCCACCAGTAACTAATACTTTTCCATTTGCTAATGTGGCTGCTGTGTGACCATATCGGGCGATAGTCACGCTTCCTGTACTTGTCCAGGTGCCTGCTGATGGATTGTACAATTCAGCACTATCGAGGGTAATAGAATCCTGCAATCCACCAGTAACTAATACTTTTCTATTTGCTAATGTGGATGTTGTGTGAGCTACTCGTGCGAAATTCAGGTTTCCTGTAGTTGTCCAAGTGCCTGTTGATAGATTGTACAATTCAGCACTATTGAGGACTGTAATAGCGTCGCGTCCACAAGAAACTAACACTAATCCATTTGCTAGTGTGGATGCTGTGTGATATGCTCGTGCGAAATTCAGGTTTCCTGTAGATGTCCAGGTGCCTGTTGATGGATTGTACAATTCAGCACTATTGACATAAACATCATTACTGCTCACTCCGCCAGCAACTAATATGAATCCATTCGCTAATGTGGATGCTGTGTGAGCTATTCGTACGGCATTCAGGTTTTCTGTAGTTATCCAAATGCCTGTTGATGGATTGTATAATTCAGAACTATTGAGAATACCACCGTTACCCGATCCACCAGCAACTAATACTAATCCATTTGCTAATGTAGATGCTGTGTGATACCATCGTGCGACACTCATGCTTCCTGTAGTTGTCCAAGTATCTGTTGATGGATTGTACAATTCAGCATTATTGAGAGAAACAGCAGTGCCGTTGCGTCCACCAGCCACTAATACTAATCCATTCGCTAATGTTGATGATGTGTGACCAAATCGTGCAACATTCATACTTCCTGTAGTTGTCCAATTATCTGTTGATGGATTGTACAATTCAGCACTATTAAAAACAGTAGAACCATTGTTTCCACCAGTAATTAGTACGAATCCATTTTCTAGTACGGATGCAGTGTGAATATATCGTGCGGCACTCATATTGCCTGTCACTACCCATTCTAGATACACCATAAAAATAAGAAAAAGTGTTGTTCTTAAAATGACTTCGAAAAAGTTAGATGGTAATCATTCAATAGTTAAAATCAAAACTTTCAAATATCGTCACTTTTATTAATCATCCTTTGAGTCACTACAAATGATTTAACATAGTACTGACCCTGTACTGCTGTTGTTGTTGTTGACATTGTTGTTGGTGTTGTGGTTGATACTGTTATCGACGTTGTTGTCGTAGTCGGTTCTATTTTGTAGAAAAGGGTTTAGAATGAGACTAAACAATTGGATACGGGCTTAGTCCTAATGTCTTACTTCTTCTTCTCTAACTGTTATATCCGCTATACGCGTGAGTGCACTATGATAGAAGAGTAAATCTTAGATGGCCTATATTATAATTGTACTTCTACGATCTTTAGTTTAATTAGATCGCTAGTATAAGAATCCTGACAAATAGTTTCATATTTCTCATAACTTTAGTTATGAGTGTATAGATGTAGATAGTAATGAGGATAAAATCCACATCTACATCTTCAGCAATACAGAAATATAGAAAACTATTGGTTGCAAAGCAACTACTTATATCTGACTGAAAAGTACCATTTAAGAAGACTGGAAAACGTTACTCTAAAGCTTACCTGACTGCTCAGTTGTGGACGTAGTTGTTGTTTGTGCCAAAGTTGTAGTCGGTGTCATTGTTGATGTTGTTGTTGACGATGACGGTAGTGTTGATATTGTTGTTGCTAGTGATGATGATGATGGTGAGGCGGTGGTATTAATTTCTGATATCGTCGGTGCAAAGACGACGAAGTTTAACACCAGAGCAAGGATAATAGCAGAAACTATTAAAAGAATAATGAAAATGCCGATTATTTTCATCCAACGACGGTGCCACCATTTGTGTGATCCATTATTTACAGTAACAACCTCACTGTAAACTTGATTGGTATGCATATTATGTTTCAGATGAAATTTAAACGCAAAAAAAGAGCACTATTCTTTGAAGCTACTTTCTGTTTGCCTATTAATTTCACGTAAGTAACAGAAGATGACTAATATTATCTCCAATATCAAAAGTGTTGTTATATTCTTATCTTAATATAATAAATTTTACATATGCACATGATAATGCAAAACTATGCTCCACGCCGAAGTTTTCTCTGATTCTCATCCTTCTTATCTTAATATTATATTTTTCATTTCGTCTGCACCATAGTGCAAGGTCTACCTTTTACACCAGGGAGAAATCAACAGACTCCGAATTCTGAATAAATATTTTGAGGCTCTTGGAAGGGTGTAAGTGATGAAGACAGTAGTCAGACCAAGGGCGGCGGAACGTGTTGAAATCCGATGAGGCTCAAAATTAGCTTTTTACATCTTAGCATAAGACAATATAAATGAATTATAGGTGATTGGTCGCTGTCAGATTTTTTTTCCATCAAAAAAGTAATGCGTTTAATTTATTCCGTCTTCGGTTAATAGAGTTTCTAGATTGCTACAAAACGATCCAGATCATTTCTTTAACTCTGGAATATTGAACCGAAAGAAGTTTGTCTTATATCTTTTGATGATATGAATTTGGACAGGATTTGATTTGGATCAATTTTATCAAGTTTTTCTTTGTAAATATGTGGTAGTAAACAATGGTTGAAACGTGATTGATTCATCGAAGAACGAAGTACACCTTTTATTCTATTCAACGCGCTGAATGTAGGTTCGGCTGTGGCCATCGTAACCAGAATGGTTAGATATAATTTCAATAATTTATGGTATTCTTTAAACCAGGGGTGCAGTATCTTCTATAAAAACGAAAAATTTCCCCGAACGTAGAAAAATGAATTATGTATTTCCGCTCAGTATTCATGTAAAACAAATGTTTTTTTGAATATTGTTGTTAAAGAAATGAAAAGAGAGAAGACACTACGAAATTTTTAAAATATACTTTATCCTAATGAACACATCAGATCATTTATGTTTTAAATAAAATTTTCATCTGAGCAAATTTCCTTATTATTTCCCGAAAGAAAAAATTTCAAAGTCAATAGTTTTTCGAAAATTTTCCTGAGCGCACGTTCGCGCAGAAGTGCTTATTCTGCACCTCTGCTTTAAGCATTTATCTACCTATTTGATATACATTTAAACTTTCACAAATTGTTGAAATTTTTGTGATTTGTTTTATGTGTATTTGATTTGTTTTAATTACTGATTAACAAAAATCAAAAACCATGAGAGCTTCGGCTTTCAATCGTTCAACATCAATATCAAACACGTATGAATCAATGCGTAAAAAAAATATCAGATTCATAATTTCGGTGAGGCTGAGCCTATAGAGGCTAAATTCCGGTGAGACTCAAGCCTCACAGAGCCTATGGCTTCCGCCGCCCTTGAGTCAGACCCACACACACACACTCAATTAATTGTTTAGAAAATCTTCACAATTATTATATTCTACATATATGTTGATTATCATATAAATATGATGGAATTTGATCAATAATTGATTCATATATTGAACACATCATTTTTCTTCACTTCTACAGGTTTTAAACTTTTTAATCGTTCATTATTTATATTATATCCTTTCATGATATAGTCTCGTAAGTAATAATATCCTTTTTTTCGATTATTCCAAATAAAATTTTAGCATTTTTAATATCACCAAATTCCAGTGAGATATTTATTACCGAATTTTGAACATTATTCGTTTTTTCGAAATTCTTAGGCGTTTGTTTAAGAAGATTTGTCTTTATTTTAATTGATAGGTAATTCTAAAGTCGAGCACATGCTTTGAAAATAATTGTATAACTGATATTATTAAGATTTAATTGTATTTGTTCATATACATCTAAAATTTTATCAAGATTTAAAATTTATTATAATAATTTCAAGAAGAAAAAAGCAGGCACTCAGTACTTATTCCCTTGAAATTTGTGCGTGAGATTTCAGTTTTCAAGTGGTATATTATCCACAATATCTATCTGGTCATACTTCTTCACAAGTTTATAAGACAGATAAACTCAAAAAAAAGGATATATTATGAAGATTCAGTGAAAAGATGCAAACAACCATAAGCAGTACTGATAAATAAGTACGACCAACAGCGTAGAAAGAAAAGAGATTTATGTCGCACTCACTATCTATATAAAGCAGCAGCGTATAACTTTATCTTAGTAAAATATGAGTTTTGTTTATCATGCATTCTTTTTTCTTGTATCTGTAATAGAGGATACATATTTTTATTAAAGTCATTAGTAATGTTTCGAAAGGATTGTCTCAATTTATTAACAAGAAAAATGAGTTCATTTGATCGATCTATGATAGATATTTAATTTTTTGATCTTACTGTGTCGATAATATGTCAGTTAAAGATTTTTATTGATATTCAACGCGAAAAAATTCATTTTATTCTATTCTGTGTGGTTGAAATGTCGTAAAGGTCACGTACGAATAATATTCTATGTGCATATTCATATAAATAAAATGTTTTTTCTTTTGCTGTTCTGTACAAAAACACACGTTTCGACTGAAGAGATTTTGTTTCTTATCGACATTTCATTTGATATAATTTTTTTCGGTTACTAAAATGTTGTTAATATTATTTTATATATTCATAATAATTCTTATTATTCTATGTTTAATTATCTATATTAAATTAATTCGTCCTGAAAAACTTATCTATGATAAATTTCGTCGACAAGGAATTACTGGTGAACCATTTATACCTTTACTTGGTCAAATTTCTGATTTACATCGTTATCGAAAAGCTGATAAAATGATGAATTATTACGGCGATCTTGTTGAAAAACATGGTCATGTTCTTCTATATAGTTTTGGTCCAGTTGTACGTTTATTAGTAAATGAACCTGATATGCTTGCTGATGTACTTAGTCGACAAAATTCAAAATATTATATAAAACCAGTACTAGCTACGACAATTTTTGCACCAATTATTGGTTATCATAATTTATTAGTAGCTGAAGGTTCTGAACATGAACGAGCACGTCGAATGATAAATCCAGCATTTTATCATACAAATTTAAAATCTATGATTTCAATTATTGCTGATCGAACAAAAAAAACTATTGAAAAAATTCTTAATAAAGAAAGAGATTCTGAAGAAATTGATTTACAAAATTTATTTAATACATTAACATTATCAATTATTGTATCGAGTGCATTTGGTGCAGATTTTGAAACAAATACGAATGCAAAAGATATTATGTGTCATGTATTAGCTGAAGTACTTGATGCGGTCTTATACCGTTCATTACGTATGATTAATCAAATACCTTTTCTTTCAAAATTACCTTTTTGGAAAAAAACTGTTCTTGATAATGGAGCTGAAACTATAGCAAAATTTGTTGATAAAATTATTTCTGATCGACGATATGGACATTCAAATAGTATGTCTGATGGTCCTGATCTACTTGATTTACTTCTTTCAGCTGTTGATAATGAAGGAGAGTCATTTACTAATCAAGAAATCAAAAAACATGCTCTTACATTTGTACTTGCTGGAAGTGAAACAACAGGAAATTTAATGGTATGGATATTTTATATTTTAATGACACATGAGCATGTTTTAAAAGCATGTCAAGATGAAATTGATCAAGTTATTCCAAATAATAATATTGATGAATTAACTAATGAACATTTATCAAAATTAGTCATATGTGAAGCAATAATTAATGAAACATTACGTCTTTATCCATCTGCACCACTTTTTATACGTCGTTGTATACATGAACATACTATTGGGACAGGAGAAAATCAGTTAAATATACCTGTTGGGACAGATATATTTATAAATAGTTATATTCTTCATCGTCGGAGTGATTTATGGCCTCGACCACTTGAATTTGATTATACTCGTTGGTTACGTGATCCGAAAAATGATCTCAAACCAAAATTAGTTCATCCATTTGCTTATCTTCCTTTTGCTGCTGGTTCACGAAATTGTATTGGACAAAATTTTGCATTATTAGAAGCGAAAATCATGTTAGCTATGCTTGTACAACAATGCAGTTTTAAATTAATACCTGGACAAAAAATAATTCCAGAAGTTAAAATAACATTAAGAACTAAATATGGTTTATTAGCTAATATTACTAAACGTCAAATATAATTACAAAAAACAACAAGAATTTTAATTTCAATAAATCTATTTGTCAATTCTTAAAAAGAAGTTGTTCGTTTAATAGATTTATTTTATTCAATTCTAATACATTTTCAATATTGAATTGATAATTTTTATCATATTGGATTTGTGTTTCGTATTTTAAAGAAAATGAAATATCATACTCTGCACAAATATAAGTTGTTCATGTTTTTATTTAATGTGGGTGTGGATGTTATGTTCATTTACAAATCGACACCCACGTATAATAAAACAAAAAATGAAATAAAAAACGCTTTGTACAAGTTCATATATATATTCGATGTAATTGATTGAGATAGTACCATCAAGCCACTACCATATGTCGCACTTGTTCACTCGACTATTGCCTTGACCTGCTTTGCAGCCGAATACTCGATCGAATTCAACAAAATTCGAGGTGGGACCACGTACTCTAGAAACATAAATCATTTATGCTAGCGCAGATTGACGTATAAAAATAATTCTACCTGAATTGTGCAGGGGAATGTTGAGCCAGTACTAAATTAGAGTGCAGAGATTCATCTGTAATTTTTTTACACCATATATGACCAAAATTGAGAAAGAACATTTGTTCTGCTGAATATTTGGTTAAACCGGGAAGTTTCTTGTCAACATTTTTATGGGTCTTAGCCCATTGCTGATACGCCTTAATAATATCTTTAGGTTTAAATCTTGAATTAGTGGAAGATAAAACTTACGAAGAATGCCTGTTTGAGTCCTGCATCGTCGGCGATATTTTCATTTTGTGTTTTTCGTCCGTTTATCTAAATAGAAAAGATTTTATGTTTGGATAATCAAAAATAAAAGAAAGAAATACTGAATGATTGACTTGAGTCAAATTATAGTTGTCGTATTGTTCGTTGATACATTTTTTACGTATGTCAAATGTGTTGACAGTCGAATTAGTCCACCATAAAACTTCATTTCCATTCAGATCATATTCTTTCCCTTCATCGCCAAATCCATGTGCAATCTCATGTCCCATAATAAAGCCAATACCTGAATTCAATATCATTTTTCTATTACGTTTATCTCGTTGAATTTATCCTTACCACCATAGTTAAGATACCTATCAAAGATATGAAAGATGTTATAATATGAGAAAATGAAGTTTTACTTAGGTGCATCTCTGTCGAACAAAGGTGTTTGAAGTATGACAGCTGGAAACACTAAAGAAAAAACAACGATATTATATGTTTATTATTCGAGATTGTATTATACAGATCTCGTTCGCTAATAATCTATGTATGGCATTGATTTTTGTGGGCGAGATACCAGTCCATTGTTTACTATCGATAGGATAGCGAAGCATTTGAAGACTAGCTTTTGAATGTAGTTGAATGGCACTCAAAACATTCGGCATATAAGATAAATTGAAATTATACTAGATTTGAATATAAAAAGAAGAATAAGAGATTTTCATTCTATGTCGTACCTCAGCATAGGCTTTATCAAGTTTCGTCATATTATCACTCTCTAAATAATCAGGATAACCAAGTTTTGCTTTAATAGCTCGAGCCTATAGTAAAAATAATTTTATTACCAATATAAAATTGATCAAATGAATAACTTACTTTTATAATCGCTATGATTTTCGATTTCGAATCCATCCATGTCGATTGATTGACCATCGTGATGAAAATATTTCGAATATTGTTGATCATTTCAATTGTCTATCAAAGTCACGACAGACAAATATTTCCTATTATTGAGTTATTTTCTCATTACTTCTTTTCGAGTATCCTTATGGAAATATTCTTCGATGTAAAGTTTTGAAACCGTCAAGCTCATCACTATATTGACATAATTGGCACATGTAGTTGCACGTGACTCTTCAGTACTTGTGCCATGAAATACCTGAGTAAATTGTTGTACAATATTTCGAAATCGTTTTGGCATATGCCAAGCTCGATCCATCATGAAGCGCCATATCATATAGTTTTGTATGGTACGTGCTGTTTGCCGATTAATAATTGACGAAATACCATGCAGAAGTTTGGGTGCACGCACAATTACAATGTCGGCATCAATCACAGAGACGTTAGCCAATAGATACAAGCGACGAATATAGTTAGAAGAATCAAACTGAATAAAAAGATGAAGAAAGAAGAGGAGAAAGTTCATACTTACGCTGACATTGATTGTATGTGAAAGATTACCGAGTGTTGTGCGAACAGTTTCGCGAGAATCTAGTTGATTTTGCATCGTAAAGTACTATGTAAAAGAATTTAAACAGAAAGTCTGCTCGAGAAAAGAAATTTACTTTGTAAAGTTCTCTCTCGAATTCTAATAACGTAGTAAGATCATTAGAGATTGTCGAGGAATCATTGGTCAATGATTGAGTAAATTTTAGAAAGAATTGCTGGTAAGCCTCTATTGCTTTTATTCCCTTGAAATAGTGAATAAAATTGTCTTTAGCCAGTTTAGACGGTCTGATCTAAAAGTTGAATATTTATTAGTAATGATTTAAACTTTTGAGTCTTACATGAATACTTCGAATCGATGAATTCTTCTCATCAACATCTGTGTTTACAGTATAAAATATGTAGCTATTGTATTGACTTAATTTGAGCATCAATCGATCAAAATCAAATGTTGATTCATTCCAGGCCGAGCCTTGCAAGACAGGCCATCCTCCAAGCTCTTTATTGATCATTGACATTATTACATCAACACCTTCCGTTTCGATAGTAGCTTCGTCTATACAAGAACTATATAAACGACGAGCATTAGTAATTGCTTTGGACTTCTTTGTTCTATTTGATGATAACAAATCTTCGAAAAACGAGATATAATATATTCAACAGAAGAATAAGCTATCGTACCGGCAATTGTATATCTTAATTTTTTTGATATTTGTGACATAGTACTCTGTTCACTACCTGTAAATGATAAAGTATAGTAATTTATCTTTTGATTCTTCTTGCACTCACTTTCCGATAATATTATGGCATTTTTAATATATTTTCCACAAGCAAACTCATAGAAGTTTTCACATGGATTGATTGTTTCATCAATACTTTCGAGCAGATAATTTGCTTAAAATAGAAAATTAATTTTTATGAGTGTGATAAAACTCACTAACCTGCTTTGATACAATACGGAGTTAAACACAAATCGCTAGTATTTTCAACTAAAAATATTATTGAATCAAACTTTCATAGAATTCATATATACGTACCTGTTGTTCCTGTATGTTGATCTTTTATTATTTTGTTTATTTCGATGCTGGATAGAACGATTATTGCGATAAGCGAAATCAATAACAGAATGATAATTATACCAAAGAATCGATATGATAGTCTGAAATGATAATAGATGTTATAAATCCATTCGAAATATCAACATGCTCTATTCTTTCATATTAAACCTACCTTCGATGTAAAGGAGTATATAAAGTGTTTGCTTCTGAATGGGTCTGCATCGATATTTTTGTTTTTATTAAATTAACGCGCACATCTGTATATATTATATAGAAGTTTTAGACAAAAATGCAATCTTCCCATCAAATGCATAGCGTATCGAGTGAGAATATACAGATATTTCCCTTATCAAAGCTTCACGTAATATGAAAGAACAAGAAAAATCTTCCCATGGGGAATTGAATAATTATAAAATTTGTCGTTCTAATCTTTCTGTTTCATGATACATTATAACTGTTTGTGTCGAATAACAATAAGTATACATACATACATAGATTATGTATAGAATGATGAAAAAAATAATGTGTCTTATCTCTCTTCATCCATGTGGCAGAAAAATGACGAAGAGCGAATTTTTTATGTTTTTTTAATCTAGCTCAAATTAAGTTACTACGTAAAAACACACAGTAAAGCAAATACAAAACATGTACAAAAAAAATATTTCAAAAATAAAAGTAAAATGACAGTAGTGTTCATTTGCAATCATTAAGTTTTGCTGATTTTTATTCAACGATTCTTCGTCAAAGCCTGAAAAGTATAGAGCAGATAGTTAAATATTTTCATATTTATCATAAGTTATAGTTAATCCTGTCACTTCACGATTGTACGTAAAAAATGAAAAATGATGAAATAATTACTTACCCACTGTTCGGTAAGTTTTGATATATCAAGGCTATTGAGTAGATCACGTTCAACTGAACATAATAGCAAATATTCTAATTTATCTTGAGGGTTGATGGTGTATAAATAGTTTAAATTAGTTTGATTAAATAATCAAAATTTTTATTTATTATTATTTTCAGATAAAATCCATTAGAAAATCCATTTCTTTTATAATGAGTGATACTTTGTTCTTTCAATGAATAAATCATACACAACAATATAAATTTCATATGAGAAGAAATAACATTCGTTTACTAAGACAAAAGATGTGAGCAAACACTAACAAAGTGTAGTTTTGGTATGAGATAATTCATTCTTTATACTTTTTTTGTAAAGTCTTAACGGGTGGGCCAAATAAATCAAGTCACTTTTGTTGTTCTTATCTATGTTAGCAACGAATTATTTTATCATAAGTATACATGCGTTGTGAAACAACGAGACTGTAGGTATAGGTGGGTGAGGGTGGGTATCAGTGGTATATTGGCCTGCTACCCATACCTAAATCCTCACAAACCCACACGCAAACAGGGAAAGATAGAAATCCTGAGCTCCTGAATCCCCATAAACTCTCTATGATTTTTTAGGATATCACAAAACTCCAAGATTCCTCAGATTCCCCAAGATTCCCCAAGATTCTTCAAGATTCTTCAGGACAATCTGGTATATATCTGAAATCTATCAGATTGCCTTGTCATTCCTAGAACTTGAGAATGTGTGGTGGTTTGAAACTACACCCACACCCTCAATACATAAAAAAAAACAATCTTTATTTTTAAAAATCAAGAATATTTTAAACTTAAAGTCATTTTATCATTCTCTTACTGAGATACATGATATACACAAATTTATTACGTCACAATTTCTTATGAAATATATGAATATAAATAGAAAAGTTTTGTTTTTATTCATTCGTGGTTATAAAAGATAATAAATCACATGTTCCTCGACAATAAGTATCAAATGAAATACATGACTAATCTGTTTCGTTTATTATTGAAAGATTATTTCATGATAGAATAATCTCATTTTTAAATATATCGATGATATGTTTTTTAGTTCAAATATTAAATTAGTTTATATTAATTAGGTACACATATATTAGCAATATTAGTATATCATAAAGGTGCTCTTGTATTTATCTACTTTCAATTAAATAAATTTCTTAATAATTATCGATTAATATTATCATGAATAGCGACGACGCTTGACCACAGTAATAGATAGATAGTAGATATTTCATTGGTGTAAACACGACTGGACAGAAAACTGAAATATATTGGTAACTCGATAAGTCATGAGATACATATAAAATAAAAACTTCCAACATACAGTGTACATCAAAACAAATCATAAAGAGCCCTCGGGTTTTTTATACAAAGATTGCAATCATTATAAATAAAACGATTTAGTATTTGTTTTTATCATGCATACAACGAATGGTTTAGATACTATAAAATATTTATGATTTTATTTTGTTGCGTTTTTGTCATACAGTCAGCGAATGGTTTTTGGGTACTTTACAATAAATGTCGTTTTCTTATCACTTTACTCAATAATAGGCATTTATTTTTTATAATCATACATCATATAATTGAAATGGTATCCAATCTAAATTGCTTTTTTTTATCATTTTTATCATTTATATGCATTTATTTTTATAATCGTACAGCGCGTGATCTAGGTGTTCTCCAATAAATGTTTTTATTTTTATTTTTCTTAGACTGTACCTGTATTAGTATATAAGTACTCAAATTCGAACACTATTCTCTCATATAAACAAGTATCAAACAAAAACATTCAACGTTATGACGGAACAGCAAGACAAACCATTCACAATGGAAGAAGAACAAGAACAACCGTTACGGAGGTCTGTCTATTATTTTATAATCATATATTATATTTCTTTATGTTGATTCTAAAGGCGCCGGTGGTATTCGAATCGTAGTATACTCAGTAGCAAAACATTCTTTACCACCACGCTACTGATTCTGGTATTGGGTACAACTGCTATTGTGTATATGTCTTATAAAATAAACAAAATTGAGAATGCAATCGATATTAAAAACCAAGGTAAAATATTTCATAGAAACAGACTGTTTATAATACCGTATTTTACCGCAAGTAAAATTATTTATTCAAAATAAATAATGATGAAAAGCCATTGGTAGACGTACCTTTTTTTTCTAGAATTTAGTTTCAAATGAATAAATTTTAATATTTCTCTTATTTTATAGAAATAGATTTCGATACACCGGATATAGATTCCGACAGCGATGATGTTGCCGATGATATTCGCACCAAATCTCGTTCATCCTATGATTCAGAATATCAGCGTGCTAAATCACCATACATATACAATCATCAAACATCAACATATGAAAAAAATCCATACTATCGTCATCGACCTTACCGACCTCGTCATGGTAATGTAAAGTTTAGATAAAAAGTTCATTTGTTTGCTTTGATAGTTAGAGTCAGAGGATAATCATTGATACCACTTTGTCAAGAAGTCAAACTGATCGAAACTAACTTCTATTTTTTTGATTGTACATATTCGTAGATACTGTATGCCAGATCTATGTTGAGTTATAGCCATTTTTTTTATTACTATTTTACTTGTAATATTTGTTTCGTTAATATTATTCTTGTCTTTTTTTTAAGATAACAAACATAGAGCATCAAAGACAACAAAGAAACCGAAGACAACAACACAACAACCAGGTATCTATACTGATAGAAATAAACTGTACTAATGTCTGACTAGTCTCAATTACTTTAGTATTAGTACAGATTATAGAATCATTTTTTACTAATTATGATTTTCTATTAAATTAGTCTTTACTTCAACTGGTTCCATCAAAGTTGGAATTCTTCATTCGAAAACTGGTACAATTGCAATATCAGAAAGTATATTAATCGATCTTTTGTTATTATTAATTAAACAACAAAATCAAAAAGGTGGTTTACTGGGTAAAAAATTGAAACCTGTTGTTGTTGATCCAGCTTCAAATGATACTTTATTTGCTGAATTAGCAGAGCAATTGATTGTTAAAAGAAAAGTATCAGTTGTATTTGGTTGTTGGACTTCAACATCGAGAATAGCAGTTCGACCTGTATTTAAAAAGCACAATTCTATTTTATTCTATTCAACACAATTTGAAGGGCAAGAATCTGATAGAAATATTTTCTATACAGGTGCTTCACCAAATCAACAAGCCATTCAAGCAGTGGATTATTTGATAGGGTTAGGTATCCAACGATGGGTATTAGAAGGAACAGATTACAGTTATCCTCGAACGACAAATGCGATATTGAAAGCGTACTTAAAACAAAAGGGTGTCTCTACGGCTGATATACGTGAAAATTACACACCATTCAGCTTCACAGATTGGGCAGCTGAAGTTAAGCTGATCAAAACATTCGGATCAACTGGTAAAAAAACAGCAATTATTTCAACTATCAATGGCGATTCAAACGTAGCGTTTTATACAGAACTCACCAATCAAGGTATTTCTTCAGCTAATATTCCATTTATGGCATTTTCAGTTAGTGAAAATGAATTAACACAAATCCCAGCTGATACTCTATCTGGAATAGTTGGCAATTATGCATCATGGAATTATTTTCAATCCATTGACACACCAATCAATGAAGAATTTATCAAACAGTGGCAACAATACACCGGTCATGATAATGTTACAAATGATCCAATGGAAGCAACTTATATTGCATTTAATATGTGGATAAAAGCTGTCACAGGAGCACAGACAACAGATGCAGACACTGTTATTGATAGAATGGTTGGTGTAGCTGTTCCCAATCTTAGTGGTAATTATGCTTCAATGTTAGCAAATCACTATATTACAAAACCTGTATACATTGGATCGATTACAGACGACGGACAATTTGATGTTGTATATCAGACACCAGGCTTAGTGGCTGGAGATGCTTGGAGTGATTACTTATCATTTTCAGCACCTTTGATTTCAGATTGGCGTAAACCATTAGCCTGTGGTGAATTCAATACAACCAATCATAAATGTGAAGATCCATAAATCGGTGCAATTGTTAAATAATTAACTAAGCACAATATCTTATTTTATTCATATTAACATTCTAAACAGTTGTAATACGTAAAACATCACGTTTTTTCTAATGTAACAATATTTATTTACATTTCATATTGTACTGATTTTTGTTTTTGAAAATTATATAGCCTGTTCATAGATAGCACATGTATTCATTTTTGATCTCCGCTTTGTCATAATTCATTAAATAAACATGAGAAAGAACTGAAATTTACATTACAGCAAACTATATAAAAGTATTAAATTCAGTAAAGTTTTTGTTTCATTTGGTTGAATTATTTTATGAATGTAGATGTCCGGACGAACATGCGCACCTGTATGGATGGGAGTAATATATGTATTCATTACTTGTTCGTACTTTCAAACAAATCGACCATACTTTAAAATTTATTAATCGATTGCTTGATTCTATATTTAATTTATAAGAAAAATAAATTAATATAAAATATAAAGAATATTTTATTTAACATATATTTTACCGAAGACGAAGAAAAACAATATACATCATGTATAGTTGATTATTCATTGATCATAGAAATACTTGGCTGCAATGTGAATATTTTTAATCAATCGTGTATCAGTATTGTTCAGCATCATCATTGCAGTTTGTTAACGCTCAAGTATTGAAAAGCTTCAATCCTACAGAAAAAAATCACGCGAACACTTTTCTTCTTTAGCTCTTCCTTCTTCAATCATTTTATTTTATTCACTTTTATTGCCTTTATTCTATCATCGAATATGTATGAGAAATATTCAATGAAACAATCAAATGTTTTCTTTCCTTTCTTATAGAACGAAAACAAAAAAACACAGATGAAGATTTTTATTATATGACCTATGTAAATATTTTTACTGGCGATAAATGACGAACATGGTGCATTGAAAACGTGTGGTAAATAATGATGACGATAGGATAGAAAAAGAAAATCTTACTCAATATTTATCTACATATACTCAAGATATTTTCGCAGTGTTACATGACTCATTATTGCCTTTTCAACAGATATTATAAAAGAGAAACGAATACATAAATAGTACGTATTTGCGCAAAATAAACCTACAAGAATGAGTAAAAACGAATACTCATTGTCTTTACTCACGCTCCCTGTAGAGCTTCTCTATGGACTTTGTGATTATTTGGATACATCAACTATTCTTGAGGGTGTGAGTGTGAGTGTGGGTGGGTGTGGGTGTGGGTGTGGGTGGGTGTGACTGCGGCTGTCAATATTTCACACCCGCGCCCACACCCACACGCCACATCCTCAAGATGGGAATGACTTTTATAAATTTATAAAACAATTAAGTTGTGAAATTTTGAAAATTCAATAAATAGACTATACATAAACATTGATGATATCTGATAATGTGCTCCATGGGTTTCAATATCATTCATTAGAAATAATTTGTTCACGAGATAAAATATATTTCAGAATAGAAAATAATGATTATACTCTCAAAAATGAGATAACAATAAATCATTGTTTATGCTAACAAATTTATTAAATGAAAAAGTAAATACACAACAATAAAATCAATAATAATCCTTTATTAAAACTCATATTTCAATCATATAAATGCAAGAAGACAATAGAGAATAATGAACTAACATTTATTGACTATGTCGTAAACAATTTGCCTTGTCATTATTTATACTAGATGGCAAGATGATATATCAATTTTTTGCAACATCTTATCCTGTGTTCTATCTAGTATACAATTCCTATTGGCTAAAATATATAAGTATTTTGAGGGTGTGGGTGTGAGTGTGTGTATGAGGGCGTGGGCGTCAGTCTTGATTTTATTACCCACACCCACCCTCAATTACATTGGTAAGTGACAACTTTGTCTTTTAGTAGAATCTTAATTATATTTTACTTTTAGATTATAAAAACAATACACTTATTTAAGATAAGCAAATTATTAAAACAACAAATTTCACTCGTTTGAAAAAGACTGCGTGTCATTATATAAGAGATGTGAATGTTTTCTTATATGAGTATTATCGAAACTTGTAGAAAAAGATGCTAGCTTGAAGCTTAATAATGAGTTCGTTTATTTAAGAATAAAACGCAAGTATTTTTAGGACAAGAAATGGTTACTTTGATTATTCTCATTTCTTGTAATACAACATATTCTAGAAAAATACCTAAGTGATATCCTTTCATTCATCACCTGTAAATTTCAATATAAGTCAAAAGAATAGAAGAACAATGGATTAAGATAAGGATAGGAGAAAATCCCATATGATCATATGTGAAGAAAAAAAGGAAAATACCAGATGGACATATATATGTGAAGGAAAGAAAGAAAATAACATATGATCATATATATGAAAGAATAGCGAACAAATACTTTATATGTTCGCTTACACACATCTCCCTGCATTTTCCTTCTGTTTTCTTGCTTTATCGTTTTTTTCTTTTTTTTATCTTATCACACATATATCTTTATATACAAGGGAAAATATTTGTTCTTAACGTCTATTCAAATATATATATATGAGTGCTTATACTCAATGGTGTATATCGGCGTTCTACAATAGAACTCGATGATCTCTATCAAAATGATATCTTATCAGACGATAGATATGTTGACATATGAGAATATATATGTATATATAATAACGATGAAAAATATATCGATAGCTATTCAATGAATACAATAATGTTTCCTTCTCTGCTTGTCTTTGTACTGTTTCTTTTGTACAGCGAAATTAAAGCTGTACCATCGAAACCAGTTAAAGTAGAGAAAAATATTGACGATTTTCATTTGAATTTGTACAAGAATGTTGTTGCATTAAAGTCGAATGATAATGTTTTTATTTCGCCTTATTCAGTTGGTCTTGCACTTGCTTCAGTTACTGCAGGTGCTCGAGGAAAAACAGAAAAAGAACTGCTGAATCTTCTACATTCGAAATCACGTGAAAAACTTACTCAATCATCTAAACAACTCATGGCTATTACAAATATGTCAGAAATCAAACTTGCTAATCGACTTTATGTGGATATAACATTTCCAATTCTTCCATCTTACACCAAACAACTTCAAAAAACCTACAATTTTACATTAGCATCAGTCAATCTTAATCCTCAGAATAAAACACGAGTCATCGATCAAATCAATCAATGGGTGTCAAATCAAACTAATAATTACATCAAAGAAGTTTTAAGTAAAGATAGTTTAGATGTTAAAGATCCTAATGAAGCGAACGCACTTCTCATCATCAATTGTTTATTCTTTGACGGTATATTTATCTATTTCTATTGCCTTTACTTTTCATTCGAATATTTTAGGTAAATGGGAATCTGAATTTGAAGCACAAAATACTGTAGCTGGTTATAGTTTTTATCCGGACGTAGGTCCTCCACAAGAAAAGAAATTGACATTAATGATGCGAAATGGTTTATTTCCTTATGCTGATATGAGCTCGACAATTGGCGCACAAATGATTCATGTACCGTTCCAAAATAAGGATTTTACATTTACGATCATCCTACCGAATAAAGACATAAAGTTGGCTCAAGTTGAATCACGGCTTACTCCTGCAATATTCAATACACCAACAACAAATCAGATGGCCGTTCTCTCAATACCAAAATGGAAATTTGAATTTGAAAATGATATGAAAGATGTATTGTCGAAAAAAATGAAAATTAGCGAATTATTTAATCGAACAAAAGCCAATCTAAAAGAACTATCTTTAAAGAAACCCATTTATGTTTCGAATGTGATTCACAAGTAAATCGAATTTTAAAATAACATATATGATTTATTTATCTGTTATATGTATAGGACCTATGTCATTGTTGATGAAAAAGGTGTTCGAGCTGGTAAGTATTCAATCTATTTTGCTTTCTATGTATATTGATTTTTTGTTTTTATGTATAGCGGCGGCATCAGTTGTACGAATGATTTCACAAGGTAGTCCACCAATAAAAATTTATTTTCGATGTGACAAACCATTTCTCTATGCTATTCGATACAAACAAACAATCTTATTTATTGGCCGATATGTTAAAGTAATCGATACTAGCAATATGCCACCAATTATCGACGGCGGATATGGCAGATAATTTTTTAACTAAATTTTCGCCTAACATAGATTAAAATTTTACTTTATCCTATTTCTCAAACTCACTCTCACCTACACCTTCATCTTCATAACTAGCATTAGTATTTCTCTATTTGTTATTGTTGCTTTGAATGTCTTTTCAATAATTTCATTAAAATTTAAAATATTTCATTGTACTTTTCTTTCATTAATACCAATAATGTAGTCAATATGTACGAAATAATCATAACTACTAAAGCTTCTGAGGTTCATTTCATTAGTAAACCATAAAAATGTATTTGTATGTTTTTGAAGGTACTTGAGGGTGTAGGTGTGACTTTAAAGCAAAGACACTCAAAATCACCCACACCCTATGCTAAAAAGACTAGAAAATGCCCGAATAATTAGTGGTTCAGCAATATAAGATTTTGATAACTCTTACTATTTAATACTGATAGATCCAGCTTTTGATGCGCTTTAATTTGGTATAAAATTCATTAAGTATTCTATTTAAAATTATAGCGCTACCCCTCCCCCCTCGCAGCAAAAGGGTGTGGGCATCTATCATCTCGTAGCCATAATCCATACCTGCATACCTATATCACTCACACCCTTAAAAATTCTGATTTGTAATAATAAACAAGATTTTCATTGATAATTATATTCTTTAATAAATCTTTCAATGTTTTGGCATCTTTAAAAATATAAGTTTTTCGTTCATAACTATTTAATATTCATTATTTCCTAAACTGATAAAGTGTATCTAACAGATGAAATTCATATAAAACAGTTTGTTTCTTTTTGTAATTATTTACGTTATAAAAACGTTTTTAATCTTTTTGTTCCGTTGAGAAATGAGTGATTCTTTCTTGCATTCATCCATTTATATATACATCTCTTACATAAGCTATGATTCGATGTGAATTATTCATATTGTGCTATTGCAGAGCTTTATATGGATTCATAATGTCTTTTTATACATTAAATCGACATAACAACATCAAATATCCTTCGCAATTTCTCGATTATATATTTTTAAAAATCAAGAATATTTTAAACTTAAAGTCATTTTATCATTCTTTCACTGATGTACATGATATACACAAACTTATTACGTCACAATTTCTTATGAAACATTTGAATGAATAGAAAAGGTTTTGTTTTTATTCATTCGTGGTTATAAAAGATAATAAATCACATGTTCGTCGACAATAAGTATCAAATGAAATACATGGCTAATCTGTTTCGTTTATTATTGAAATATTATTTCATGATAGAATAATCTCATTTTTAAATATATCGATGATATGTTTTTTAGTTCAAATGTTAAAGTAGTTTATTAATTAGGTACACGTATATTAGCAATATTAGTATATCATAATGGTGCTCTTGTATTTATCTACTTTCAATTAAATAAATTTCTTAATAATTATCGATTAATATTATCATGAATAGCGACGACGCTTGACCACAGTATTAGGGAAATAGTAGATATTTCATTAGTGTAAACATGACTGAACAGAAAACTGAAATATATTGGTAACTCGATAGGTCATTAGATACATATAAAATAAAAACTTCCAACATACAGTGTACATCAAAACAAATCATAAAGAGCCCTCGGTTTTTTTATACAAAGATTGCAATCATCATAAATAAAACGATTTAGCATTTGTTTTTATCATGCATACAACGAATGGTTTAGATACTATAAAATATTTATGATTTTATTTTGCTGTTTTTTATCTCTAACATACATTTATCTTTTATAATCATACATCATATGATTGAGACGGTATCCAATCAAAATTGCTTTTTTAATCATTTTTATCGTTTATATGCATTTATTTTTATAATCATACAGCGCGTAATCTAGATATTGTCCAATAAATGTCATTTTTTTGCCTTTTTATTTATTTATTAGGCTGTAGCTGTATTAATATATAAATACTCAAAATCAAAGACTATTCTTTCATATTAACAAGTATCAAACAAAAACATTCAACGTCATGACGGAAGAGCAAGATCAACAAAGCAAAGCTGTAGGATGTAAGTATTTGAGAGTTAACAAGATACAAAATGTTACATCATTTGTAGATGAAGCTGTAAATGTTAGCAACAAACTGCACGATAAATCATTCACAATGGAAGAGGAACAAGAACAACCGTTACGGAGGTCTGTCTATTATTTTATAATCATATACTATATTTCTTTATGTTGATTCTAAAGGCGCCGGTGGTATTCAAATCGTAGTATACTCAGTAGCAAAACATTCTTTACCACCACGCTACTGATTCTGGTATTGGGTACAACTGCTATTATGTATATGTCTTATAAAATAAACAAACTTGAAAATGCAATCGATATTAAAAACCAAGGTAAAATATTTCATAGAAACAGACTGTTTATAATACCGTATTTTACCGCAAGTAAAATTATTTATTCAAAATAAATAATGATGAAAAGCCATTGATAGACGTACATTTTTTTCTAGAATTTAGTTTCAAATGAATAAATTTTAATATTTCTTTTATTTTATAGAAATGGATTTCGATACACCAGATGTAGATTCTGACAATGATGATGTCGCCGATGATATTCGCACTAAATCTGGTTCATCCTATGATTCAGAATATCAACGTTCTAAATCACCATACAGATACAATGATCGATCATCAACATATGAAAAAAATCCATACTATCGTTATCGACCACATCCACCTCGTCATGGTAATGTAAAATTTAGATAAGAAGTTCATTTGTTTACTTTGATAGTTAGAGTCAGAGGATAATCATTGATACCACTTCGTCAAGAAGTCAAACTGATTGAAATTAACTTCTATTTTTTAATTATACATGTTCGTAGATACTGTATGTCAGATCTATGTTGAGTTATAGCCATTTTTTTTAGTACTATTTTACTTGTAATATTTGTTTCGTTAATATTATTCTTGTCTTTTTTTTAAGATGACAAACATAGAGCATCAAAGACAACAAAGAAACCGAAGACAACAATAAAGACAACAACACAACAACCAGGTATCTATACTGATAGAAATAAACTGTATTAATGTCCGATTAGTCTCAATTACTTTAGTTTTAGTGCATATATGAGTTTTAGTTAGTTGTTATCATAATTCTGAGATATATGTATTTCTTCCTTTTGTCATTCTTTGAGAAAGAAGAACTTCCTTATTTATAAATAAAGTTTCTATTCTGATTGACATATACAAATACAAAATAATAACTTATAACTATATTTTCTTTTTAGAAACACCTACGCCGGACACAACACTATGCCAAGCATCCATATTCCCGGGTAAGTCAAGTTATGTACCTTATCTTGAATAGTGTGATTTAAATGCGACCTTTTCTTCTTATCGATATTTTTAGTAGATATAAAAGAGCTTGTTGATTTTTTCACTTTCTTCGATACATACGACAGAACATTGTGAATATACTATATTCATTTAAAATTTCCACTCTGCTATCATCTGTAAAAGTAATTGCGACGAGACTTAAAACTTCTGTTTGAAATAGAGTCCTGCAAACCGAACGGGTACCCGACACCCGGCCCGACCCGGACCTGGGTACCGGGTAAAATTCGCCGGGTCGGTTCGGGCATCGGGCGTAAAAGAAAAATTCGGTTCGGGTTCCGGGTAGGAGTGTATACCCGACCCGAACCGACAACCAATGACATCATTAAATTTGTAACATTTTATTCTGATACTATTACTAATATGAAAAATGAAGTCACAATAAATCTAATAATGATTAAACGACGTATTAGTCATTGAAATATTTCATAGAGAAAAGTTTAGTTTCTTTGAGTAGCTTTTGTTATGTTTCGGATAAAAAGCTTTTATTGTTTTGTTAATTAACATCTTACAATACGAAAGGTGGATGTGGGTGTGGGTGTGGGTGTGGCCTTGTGTGTGTGTGTGGATGTGAGATAAGAGCAAGATTCACATCTTCAGCTAACTCCTGATTCACTTGTTTTTTTACGTAATTTGACATAATATATATTTTTGTTTGTTACTTATGAATAGGGGTAGGATAGTTCCATATTAGTTACGTTCTTAGGAACTGTATAATAGTTCTTTTGACCAGCTCTTCTGAACTTGGAACTATGAACTGTCCTACCCCTACTTATGAACGAAACTAGACGTATTATATTTATTGAATGAAATAAAGGTTTAGAAATTTGATCATATTTTGAAAAATAACTGAGTACACCGGTTCGGGTCGGTTCGGGTCCCGGTTTAGCTTATTCGGTCCGGTTCGGTTCCGGGTGGTTAACTAGCCGGGTCGGTTCGGGCCCGGGTGTAAAAAAAATCGCCGGTTCGGTTTCGGGTACAAAAAAGTGCACCCGTGCAGGACTCTAGTTTGAAAATCTGATTTTAAGAAGACTAGTAGAAGAGAAAGTTTCTCGAGCTTATTATATGTAAATGAGAGGGAACTGAAATATTCATGTGTTCATATACTACACAGAGCATCGAAATTCGTATACCAACCAATCAAAATGAAAAAAAAAGAAAAGAGACTCAAAATCATGAATAGTACCGGAGAATGTTGTACCATTTTTTCACTTCATAATAGTTTTTTATTAACAACGATGTTCATTTCGACTGATCATTGATATTGTCTAGTAGTTCTACTGCATTATAAAAGAGAGGTTTTGTATTTTAAACATTATCTGTTATTTAAGATAAATATATCATAATATGTAGTCTATCTACATAATTTTTGATTATGTATAATAGATTTTAAAAAAATAAGACAAATTCATTTCATTGTTACTATTGAGTACAATGATTGTTCTCCGAGAAATGTGGATGAGCTCTTTTATCTATCAATCTTACACCAAATATTTTTCTATTATTTTCTATCTACTCCTTTGATTTTCACTACATTTATTCTGTTAAAAGGTCAAGCTCCTATTTGGCTGTTACCTTTGTCTGAATTATCAGATCCAGATGCAGCAATTACATTTTTTCTGGCTCTAAAACAAAATCCAAAAGCAGTGCAAAAACTAGAAAGAATATTCTGGAAAATCACCGATCCCGACAGCAGTGAATATCAGAAATGGCTGACGCGTTCAGAAATCAATAAAATTCTGACACTCGATAGTAAAATTTTGAGTGCAGTTAAACGATTTCTGCGCAAACAATCGTTTACATCTGTGGAATTAATTGGAACTGATGTATTTGCGATAAAGACAACAATTCGACAAGCATCAGAATTTTTCTCAGCTCAATTTCGTCCGTATAAAAACATCAAGACAGGAAGAACTATCCATCTAGCTCAAGGCGAAATGTGTTTGACAGATGAAATTAGTCAATATGTTGATTTTTGGCTTGATTTCGTCGATGATCCATTTAATAACAGAGAACCTACCGATCCATCTAAAAAACTTACTGTCTTTTCAAGTGATGCAAATGCTACGGATACAGTAACTACTCAAAATATTCCTATAATTGTTCCTCAATTTGTTCGCTCGTATTATAACATTCCAGATGTCTCGAAAACTGGTTTAGAATCAGATGTTTCACAAGGAGCATTAGAATTTGGAGGTCAGTTCTATAGTGAGCAAGATTTAGAGAAGTATTTGCAAGAAGTAAACATAACGTCCGAACCTCTGAAAACAAAGCATATTCTCGGAATTAATGATCCATCGAATCCAGGTGTCGAGACAATGTTAGATATTGAACAAATGGTGGGAATAAATCCTTTGGCTGAAACTTGGTATTTCAATGATGACGTGAAGAACATAAGTAGTGATGGTATGTTTATAAAGATACTTACAATAAATGAATTGGATGATCTGCCACAAATTCTGTCCATTTCGTACGGTAGGCCTGAAGCAAATGTATGTGCAGGTGTTACCAACTGTGATCAAAACGTCGTGGATCTGAATAAGAGATTTACTATTCGTGCAAATATTGAATTTATGAAGCTGACAATGAAAGGTATTACAGTTTTAGTTGCAACTGGTGATGATGGAGTAAATGATTTTGATGCAGATTGTACAAATACAATGTTCAATCCCATATATCCAGCCTCTTCACCTTTCGTAACATCAGTTGGTGCAACTACATTAGTTAATGTACAGTACAACGTATTGCAGGATCAACCACCCGCTTGTACTGCGTTCAATCCACCGCTCGTGTGTGTATCTGGTGGAGATGAAATCGCTGTTAGTGTTTATGATCCTCTTTTCGCTAAGTATACTAGTGGAGGTGGATTTTCAAACTTTGCTCCTCAACCACCTTATCAAAAAGCTGCTGTTCATGATTACTTTAAAAAAACATCAGTGATGTTTCCTCCACCATCAATGTACAATCGAAAGGGACGGGCTTATCCAGATGTAGCTGCATTTGGTGTAAATATTTTCGCTGTGGTAAATGGTACTGATGGTTTAGGTTTTGGTACAAGTATATCGGCACCACTGTGGGCTGGTATTGTCTCAATTCTCAACTCTCGTTCAATAAAAATAACAGGTAAAACATTAGGCTTTCTCAATCCATTGCTCTACAAGATGGCCAAAGAATGTCCAGAATGCTTGAACGATATAACAGTTGGAAATAACAAATGTACACGAGCAGTTTGCACAGATCAGTGCAAAGGTTTTCAAGCTGCATGTGGTTGGGATCCAGTAACAGGGCTTGGTACTCCAAATGCTGGAAATATTTTGCAGTATATAACAGAATTATTGAAAAAGAAAATGAAGAAAACAGAATATAACTAAGTTACAATCAATACATGAAATAAAAAAAGAAAAAGACTTTTTATTAGTTAGAAAACTTTTAATTCTTATTCATTTTTATCTTCAAATTTATTATAATCTTTCATTTTTTTCAATTATACTTTGCTGTGCTTGTAAAATCAAAATAAATACGAAGTTTTAATTTTCATCGACATGTTTGATGTTATTTATTTTCAAATCAAAATATTCATCAGAGCTCTATATCATAAAAGAACACAAATCAAAGAAAAGAAAAGGTGTTTTCAATACAACTAATTTCTCATCGGAAATTGCGTTAAACTTGTTCAGATTCCAAATAATGAAATGGTTATTTACTGTATATTG